TATTGAGTGAACTGAGCCCACGGTCCTGGAAGCTGAGTAGTTTGGATTGGAGCTTACAACTAGAACTGTGTCAATGTGTGCAAAATAATTAGGCAGATAAAATGTGGACGACAGAAGACAGCCAAGGAAATGCAAGATGCAGTGTAATTAGGGGCTGCCAAAATGCGTACAGAATGGAGCAGCAGCTGGACACAGGCAGGTGAGAGCCCACGTCTGTCTGCTATCCACGTGCACAGGAGGCCATGCTGAGAGAAAAAGTGGAAGGCTTTGGGGAAGGCAGCTTTGTGGTGTTTACTACAAAAGCGCTTAGGGTTGTTCTGGTGCTGAGAGCTCTCTTTATGGGGAATGAGTCAGCCACAAAACCCACTTCAACCTGAAATCAGAAGAAATCCTAAGATAGATTGTTCGTAAGAAGGAATTGCCAGCACCAGATCATGTTCCCTCCTGGGCTGCAGACTAAACAAGAGATGAGTCACACACCTGCTTATGTAACCACAGCCCCAGAGCTCCTTGATAAAACAGGGATGGAACAAGGCAAATTTGTGCTGAGCTCTGCTCCGAGCTCTGAGGAGATCTGGGGAGCTGATTTTCATGACTCTGTCAGGCAAACGTATGGAAACTATAACAGGAAATTGATCGAAATTTGGAAAAGCAGGGTGAAATTGTGCTGAGTCACTGCTGCGGTCCGACCCCAGCAGGCTCAGCTGCACCCAGCTGCTCACTCACCCCCACCAACCCATGCGAGAGAGAACCAAGGAGGCCAAAGTGTGAGACCATGTGGGTTTGGATGAGGACAGTTCAGGTAAACAGAAGCGGTGTGCATAAGGAAGCAAAATGAGGAATCCATTGCGACTTCCCCCCAGCTGGTAGAGGTGCAGCCACCTCCAGGCCAGCAGGATCCACCAGGTCTCAGGGTTCCTGGGCCCTGTAGCTCCTCCTCCTTTCCCCCCATAGCATAATACAAGACTGCCAAAATAATGACAGTCTTCTTGATTTCAGAGAGCCTCACCAACATAGCAGAGGGGCTGGAGCTCCAGCAGGTGTGAAGGCAGGGGTTGCAGGGGCTGCATGAGGCAGCAGGGCTGGGACTGAGCCCTGTCCATCCGTCCTGGCCAGGGTGATGGATGGCAGTGCCTGGGGGACTCTGCCTGCTGACAGAGGTGACAGGGTGGTGCTTCAGTGCACTGCAGGTTACAACTGCAATAGGCATCATCATAATTAATATCAGTACCAGCGTACCTGGTGGTTGCAATATACAAAATGTGTGGCCCGTACAAACGACTGTGCTGAACTGTAAGCTGCAGTCAAAGCTTTGTTTCTGTGCACAATCCAATCACAAGTTCACAGAACAGCTCAGGCTGGAGGCATCTCTGGAGAACAGCCCGCAGGGGGAGCAGCTGCTGGGCAGGATGAGGTTCCCACCAGGTGCAGCAGGCCCCAGGCACAGCACAGAGTGCCCCGAGTGCAGCCCATCCTCTGTTTGACCAGCCAACTTTTTCCTGCTGCTGTCCTTTTCTTACAGCAGGATCCCAGGCTGAGTTTCTAGTTCATCTCTGAAAAGGAAATATCAGCCACCAACTTGAGGATATGCCACAATTTACTGACAATGACAAGATTTCCTGGAATATTCTCTTTGGCTGGAGGACCATCCCAGCGTCTATCCATCCCACCTCCTAACAGCAGAGATGCTCCCGTCCTCTGGAGTGTGCGTCATGAGGCTCAGGAGGGAAGCAATGGGCCCTGGTGGTGTCCCAGCACTGGATGCAGCTCCTGCAGAAGGTGTGCCTGCCTGTGCAAGCCACATCCGCCAGTGGGCGGAGACAGATGGGACACGTCTCCTCCTCAGGGCCCTCCACCGACTGCACCTGTACCTCCTGGCAGCTCCTCCTGACTGACTCCTGGCTGCAGCTGCGCTAGCAGTGAGGTGCTCAGAAAACAGACTCACTGGAGGCTGCCTCTCACAGAGCAATCAGCAGTGTCTGGGCCTCAGCACGTCGTGTGTTGCTGACAGTGATGGACACTTCGTGTGCCACTCGCAGGAGCTCTGACGTCTGCTGTTCCTTGAGCAGGATCCTCGGTCACTCGCAATCCACTTGCAGGGCGTTGATGTCTCATGTACAGCTGGCAAGGCCTGGATGTCTCATGTTCCATCCGGGGAAGGCACTGATGTCTCAAGAGCTGCCAGCAGGACTCAGAAGAGGGCAGAACACTCCGGATATCTGTACCCTGAGCCACCTATATATATATCCATCCACTCCGCTGTGAAGTCACGGGATGACAGCGACTCCCCAGTGGTATCACAAGGCACACAGATGTAGATTTCTTTTCTGCTAGTTGTCATGCTAATAATAGTTTTGATGTTTGCCTGCCAGAACCCTCCTAAGAAATTCCATGGGACAATTCCACGACATTGAGAAACAAACAGCTGCTTGAAGCAATGAGCCTCGTTGCTGGGACATTCCCACTGAGCTGAAGTCAGTTGGGAAAGGAGCTGTTGTGATAGAGAAACTTACAGTATGAAGTATTACACACACACAGTATTATATTTCCCATAACATAATATATGTGGGAAAAACAAGCAATTGTGATTACACTCTTTATTACAATGAAACTTGAAATTGATGTAAATGTAAATGTAACAGTACAAGCTTGTATTGGTTCTGGCCTGTAATCCTCAAGGACCTGTAATAATGAGTCAGCAATAGCAAATGATCACCTCTGCCAGTCTGAGACTGCAATCTGACATAGAATGTAATTAATAGGAACTGTGAATTCTACAGTTTCAGTGGTCCTAATTCTAAACCACAGAATCAGAATCACCAAGGTTGGGAAAGACCACCCCCGAAGAGCAGCTGGGCACTTGAGAACACAGGACATCCTGAAGATGCCAAACAAGAGCAAACCAAGAAACTGAAGAACAATGAAGCAGGGCAGACTGGGTGGGATCGGAGGCAGAACCCAGGCTTCAGCACTTCTAGAGCTCTGGGAGTGCTCCTTTGCCCTTTCCCCTTAGCTTACTTACACTCACCCCATAGGGACAGCACTGGTTTGCCACTGGTCTGCTCCCTGTGCGCCCCTACCAGCAACATCTCACTTTCATAATCATCCCCTGTGGCTTTCAGATTTGCAGTCCCCTGAGGCCCCTTCACTCCTCTCCAGCCCCACAGTCCCCAGCTGCCACAGTCACATCCCCACCGCCCTCCTGCCCGCAGCCCCAACCAGGGCATTGGCAGTGCCTTCAAGGCAAGTGGGATCCTGCCAACAACAGCAGATGTAAAGCACAGGGGTGCCTGCTCCTTACAGATCCCCTAAGAAAGGGGCTCAGATTCTGCAAGGCGTTTATTAAAAACAAAACAAAACAAAACAAAACACGCTGGAGACAACATGAGGAAAAAAAACCAACATAATCTTACATTCCTTGAAATATTGGAAAGAAGTCATGCAGCACTGCACAGACCTTGAAGCAGGACATGGCATGGTGCTCAGGCTCTGCCAGACTAGGACTTTACCTGCACTGTGGTCTTGAGTATTCCTCTGGGGTTTTCCCAGGAGTACACAACTAGATCCATCATTCCTGCAACTGAACGAAAATGTGTTTAGTGAAAACACACTGCTTCACTCTAAGATAAAGCCAAAGCAGTGTCATTGCCAGGTGCACAGCAGAGCTGCCTGCAGGTGTCCCCATGCAATGAACTGGGAAGCTTGTCCTGCACTGGGAAGTTTGTCCTGCACCTGCTTGGGGTCACCGAGCCCTTCATGTGTGATGGTCACTCGGCCAGCATCAGCACAGACAGCTGGGATGGAGATCTTGCACAGTGCTCCAGCAGCAGCCTTACTGTGCCCGTGCTGGTTTTGGGGAGTGTTATTTTTTCTCACAGTACTTCCTTCTGTGCTGTGGCTTGATTTTGTGATGAAAACAGCGTTGAAAACACACAGATGTAGCTGCAGCTCAGCAGTGCTTACACAGTTAAGTGCTTACAGAGCATGCTGTAGGTGCACAGCTGGGAGGGTGCACAGCCAGGACAGCTGGGATGTTCCAGATCATACGGTGCCGTGCTCTGCAAGAGAAGCAGTGGGGAGTTTTTCCAGGGGAAAAAAACTGCTGCTATGCATTAGTTGCAGTGGTATACAATTGCGTTTTGCACCATGAGCTCTTCTGGAGTAGTTTTCTCAGGGTGAGGAGGGTTTGTGGTTTTTGAAAAATATGTATTTCCTCTTTTTCCTTATCGATCTGCCGTAATACCATCCCTCACACTTTCTAACCGTCACCTTTCCCATCCTCCTCCCCCTTCCCGCAGGGCGGAGCTGAGCGGCTGCTGGGCCTGACTGCCAGGGGAGCACAGCAGCGCCTGTGACGGGACAGCGAGTCCCGCAGCGACTGCTGCATCCGTGGCGTGGGCTTGCTAGAAGGGAGAGACAGCGATGTTAACGTTGCTGGCGCTCTAACGGGGGTACCGTGAGAACGGTGAAGTGCGCGAATCCCGAGGCAGAAAATCCCCGCACGGCAAACTGCACCGACCTGGCAGCCAGCGCACGGCAGCGGCGGGCAGCCCGGGGCCATTAACGTCCCTTGGGAAAAGCGCACGTGGTGCAGAGGGAGAGAGCAGAGCTGCCTCGCCGGGCGCTGCTGCGGGTGAATTCTCCTCTCTCCGCTCCGGGGTGACGCGGGCGGTGACCTGCGGCCCGCATCGAGGGGCCGAGCTTTTGAGGGCTGCTCGTGGGGTGACGGCGTGCCCTCGTGCGACCCCGCCAGAGCCCGGGGGCCGCAGCGCCTGTCGGAGCGGCAAAGGATGGCGGCGTTCCGCGGAATGGGGTGCCGAAAGAGGGCGGCCTCGGGCGGGGCGGGTGATGCGGGCGCGTCCCCTTTAAGAGGAAGAGGACGGCGGAGGCGACGGGGACCGCCGCGGCGAGCCGCGCACGCGCACAGCTTTTCCCCGCGACTTATTTGGCGCTGCCCGCGGCGGGAGCCGTGCGCTCGGGCGGGGAGCTGCAGGACGGAGCGGGCGCGCGCGTGCGCAGAACGCCGTAGGGCCCGGCCGCCCGCCGCGCTCTTTGTGGCGCTGCCGGAAGCGGCCGCGGGTTGCGGAGCGGGGCGGCTCGGAGCGGCGTCTCCCCGTGTCGCCTCAGCCGCCGCGGGCACCATGGAGCCGGCGGTCTGAGGGCGGAGCGGCCGGCCCTGCCCTGCCCGGTCCGACATGCCCGCCGGGCCCTTCGGCGCAGGTAAGGCCGTCCGGGCCCGACCGCTCCCCTCCCCCCCACCCCTCCGCCGGGCCCTGTGGTCGGCGGCCGCTGCCCGCCTGGCTCCGGGCCCCCGCGCGGCGCGTCGGGGCCGCGCTCGGCGCCGGCGCAGCGCTGAGCGCCGGGCGGCCGATGGGAGTGGGCCGCGGAGAGCTCCGGGCCCGTCCTGCCCTGCTGTGCCCGGGGCGGGGGCCGCGGTTCGGGAGCCGCGCGGGGCGGAGGGAAGTTGTGCTCGGCAGCGCCCGCGGAGCGGCGCGGAACTCGGCGCCGGGCTCCGTCCCACTCCCGCCGTTAGCCTCGTTTTTCTCCCACTGCCCCGCGGGCGGGCGCAGGTGCGGAGTAGCGGCGCTGCAGGCCGTGCCTGTTCTCCTCCGGGGCGGGGGGAGCCGCTCCGCTGTGCGAGGAGCGAACAGTGAGGCGCTGCGCGGAACCGTCCTTCGGCGGCATCGCGGGGCGCTCCGCCCTGCGGCCGCGGTAGCTGGGCCGTTTGGGGTGCGGGTGCAGCCTGGGCAGCCCGAAGGGTCGCCTTCTCACCCGGCTCTGACAGGTGGGACGGCGGCCAGAAGCAAAGCGGTGGTGATGTCTGAGTGATGAAGCTTGAAAGCAGAGTAAAATAGCCAGCGCTTATAAAGTTCTCTGACTCTGCTTTCTTATGGGTTGACGAATGCTCAGTGTGACAGCCCCGAGTTCCAGGCTGCTCCTCCGTGATGGGGGCCCCGGCCCCTTGCACTGGGACGGCTGTGTCTGGCCTTGTCCTCAGAACCGGGCTGAGGTGGGGGCTCTGACCCTGTGAGTGGGGTCTGCTGTGGAGAGTGGAGTCCCCTGCCCCGAGGCTGAAGTGGGGACTGCCTTTGGGTTTGTGTACTGACCTCCGGCAGCTGGATGATAAAATTGGGCCAACTCATCTTCCCTGGCCGAGGGGGGCGGTGACGCTCCTCTCTTCCATTCAGCAGCACTGTGACTGAATGTGTCACCTGAGCTGGAACTGGGGTTGTGAGTTCCTGCTCTTTTCTGCCTCATCCCTTCCTGCTTTGAATGGAAATCTTTCGTTTAGTAGTAATCCTGGCATGTATCTCCATTTATTCTCTAACAAAATACTGATATTAAGCAGAGCAGGGCCTGCAAGCTGCTCTATGTGATGTCTCTTAACATGATATGTTCTTAGAGCGGGGGCACCTACTGGGTGGGCTTTGGAGGTGGGGGCCTGGAGGAGTGCTCACTTCTTCTGCCTTGCAAGGGTGGTGCTGAGTCAGGCAGCCCTGCCAGGACCTAAGCCAGCCTCTGTACTCTCCAGCGGAAAAGTGGAAGGCAGAGGGGCAGCAGTTGTGGCAAGGTGGGGCAAATGGCTGCCTTGTTTTCCTTGAAATACTTTTGAATTATAATTAATATCCCCGAACTTTACAGAGTAGTTCCTTTATATTGCTGCTGCTTTGCTGTGAGCTCTGCTTTCAGAGAGGCCTTCCTTGGGTGTCTCTGCTGCTGGTCTTCCTCTCTTCTGTATTAATATTATTGTTGCCACTGAATTGTCAGTTCAGTCTCTGCCTTCCTGGTTCTGATGAAAACTCAGGAAGCTCTCATACTTTGGGAAGGCTTGTCTTTGTGCTCCAAACCCTTTGCTTTGTAGGTGAGCACTTGATTTTGTGTCTGAAGTTGCTGAGCACGAAGGGCTCAGTGTCCCAGTTTGCTCCCAGCCCTCATTGTGCCCGCTCTGAGATCTGCTTCCTACACAAACATCAGTTCCTTACCTTCTCCCTGTGCACACTTCAAAAATCCCACCACTGCTCTGAGCTCCCACGTGTTCCTTCAAAACAGCTGCAGCATGTGGGCCTGTTTGCTTGGGTAATTCTCACTAACTGTACTGATCCAGGAGGTAAAATATTTTGCCTGCTCCTATTCCTCTGAAGGCTTTAGGGACAAGAAATAAATCTCAAGTATCACCATCTTTTTTTAATTTCATGAGCTTATTAATGACTTTCTTATACTCACCGAAGTCTCGAGTGTCTGTGAGCTGAAGATCTTTGGTCTCAAATGCTGAAACATCCTTTTCCAGTTTTATGTGGTGGTAGCTATAAAAATTCCCTAGCTAAAATGGCTCAGGAGGGAACATGTTGGTGGTATTTACTTTGCTGAGGAACACTGGTACTGTGGTTCCACAGTAGATGGTACATATCTTAGCTTTGCATCTCTCTGTTCTTCCACCAGTGCTAGTGTTGGGAATTTCTTTCCAGACCCCCCTGCCTTTAGAAATCTCAGGGTGTTATATTTACTGCAGAACATAAATGAGTTCTATTTCCAAACTTGTGTGTAAAATGGCTTGGTGACTTCAATAGTTCTACTTACTTTTCTTCTTCCCCTTAGTTAGATAGTCTGGAACCTCAGGAGCCCTCAGAGATTTTGAACCTGTGTCTGTGTAGCTATTCTCCTAAATTTCATGCAGGTGGTGCTCAGCTATTGAGCCAGAGTGCTGTTTTTGAAACCGAGGTGCAGAAATGCTGCAGAAACAAATGAAGATTGAGGTGCACTGGTGGTATGGAGTCAAAGCTGTGTGTTCTTCTGGTGTTCTGGGGGGTGTTGAAGTAAATTGGGACAAATGCAGCCTGTTCTGAGGGGTGCATCCTGCTTCTGTGAGGTGTTCAGAACTTTTCTTCTTGAGCTTTCTAAGCAAGGTGTGACACTGTCAGTATGTTCTGCTTTCATAGATTCAACATGAAAGCAGATGTGGTTGTGGGGCGGCTTACTGGTGTTGTTAGCTTATGTCTGGGTTCAAGAAGTTGAATTGCAGCTGAGTACAGCCACAGCTCTGCTGTGACAGGTAACAACGGCTCTCACTTCAGATGGCAGTTAGCGGGGTCCCGAGGGAAAAGCAACTTTCAGTCTTCACAAAATAAATTGTTCCAGTCACAAAATGTAGCGGGTAAATAATCCAGTACCATAAGGAAGTCCTACCTCAAAAGGTTTTTTTACACGGGAATTAGTTCCTTGGTCCATTATTGTACGTTAATAATATTTCCTTTATGGCAAGACCAAGGGCAGCCTGGGGTATCGCGAGGATGCAGATCTGAGCGTTAGGTCTGCCAGCTGTGTGCAGCACCAGAGGCTTTGGCTCCCCTGTGCTGCTGCTGAGCCTCTCACACGTGCTGTGGTGCATCCCAAGTATGTGACAGACACCCCATCTCCGAGCTTGGGAAGCATCACCCCATGGAGCTGCTCACTTTGCCTTGGCAGGGCTGGGAGCAGGTGGGAACTTCTTGCATTGCTGTGTGCTGGTATGACAAGGGGTCCTGAAATGCTTCAGAATTTGGAATCCTTTGTTCTCTGGTTTTCTTCCATGTAGGAGCTTTACAGCCTCTGGGCTACCCACAATTTCCCCGTGCTTCTGGGCAGCCCGTGCTGGCAGCTGTCGGCATGCTGATGGGCTCACTGAGCTGATAGCAGCGCGCCAGTGCGTGCTGACGTGCTTGGTTTGATCCAGCGCTCCGTTCTCAAGTGGTGGACGCTGCTGCTGCAATGGGCTCTGCAGTGCCTGTGGGAGGGCTGGCACTGTGTGTAGGGCCTGCAGAAAGGGATGGCACAGCAGCAGGGAGACGGCCTAAGAACTCAGCTGGGAACTGCCGTTGTTACCAAGGACAATGGCTGTAGATGGGTCTGTGGGTCCTGTTTGCTTCCTGCTCTCCTGTCGCTGTGACTTCTGTGTCCTGGCAGCAGGTTATATACAGGCGCCTCCCCCCATTGCCCTCAGAGGAGAACATTGCTAATGGACACAGGATGCACTTCTGCCAGCTGTGCCTGCTGTGGTTATTTACCATCAGGAAAGCATGCGTGGCTGCTGCCTCAAACCAGGAAGGAGGTAGTTTAGGAAACTAAGATGTGCTGCCGCCTCATAAAGGAGTCATCAAGCTTTTTACATAGAGTTTTAGGTGTAAATCAGCATTCAGGTGATCAGCTAAATAGGCAGACCTGTTTAAATGGCGGCTTGTTCCTAACTAGGTGCATTTCCAGGCCTGGCTTGTTTGGTTTCTTGCCAAGGAATACTGAAGGGAGGCACTGAAAACATGCCCTATGTAACTAAGTAGTTCCTGCAATGCCCAGCAGCTGTTGGTGAGCCATCCCTGCAGCGCTGTTTGTGGCAGCATGAGCAGATCTGTGCTGTGGCTGCTGCATGCCCTCCTGCTTTTCCTCGGTGCCAGCCCTGCCTGCCTTGTGCTGTGCTGTTCACGTGGTCGCTGGCTCAAATAACTGATAATGGAAGGAGGGAGGTGGTGCTGGTCTGAGGCTCGTGCTGCTGTGCGCCTGTGCTGCTCAGGTTTGCAGGGTGCTGCCACCGCAGGGAATGCTCCTTGCACCCTTCCCAGATGTGTGTTCTCCCAGCTCCTCTGTGAGGCACAGGTCTTCATCTGTCCTCCATCAGATCAGGTCCTGTCGGCTGCTGGCTGGATCAAGACATCTGTGCTGGCTGAGCTGCCAGGTGCTGCCAGGTGAGGCTGTGTGCACTGACTTCAGCAGGGTTTGAAACTCGCCGGTGCGTGCGTGAGTGCGCCAGGTCCAGGAGCACACGTGGGGTTGTGTCGCAACTGTGAGGCCATCTGTGGTTTAAGTGAGCACTCTGTGAGGGCTCAGTCAGTCCTTCTGTCAGTTCAGGTCAGCACACTTCTGTTCATCTGTTAGTCACATTTCTCAGACAGCAGTTTTGGGTGCTGCAGGAGAAAAACTGGGAGTGTAGGAAGAGGCTGGATTTGGTGTTCCTAATGAGTGAGGATTTCTGTCTGTTTCCTGGTATGTATTTTTAACTACTGTTGAACTGAAAAAGGGCATAAGGTGGGAACACAGCTGTTGCTTGCCTTAATTTTGAATATTTCTGGAGCAGTTCTCTGTTTTAGCTATGAGCACTTTGTAAGAAAGCGTCTTGACATGGACTGCACCAGCTGAAGTCATGAGCTGCTTCTCCTGAGGCTTGTAGTGTCACAAACAGGCTGTAAGTTCCTAACTGAACCTAAAAGGAGGGGGAGTCAGTATGCAGAATTCCCGTTGGGAGAGCTTTTGAATCCCAGGATAACTTTTGATTCTTTTAGTATTTGGAGTTTTTATTTTATTGAGTATCATAAATATATTATAAATTTTATTAAATATTACAAAATATTATTTTTTTATTAAAAGACATTAAGGTTAAACAATAGCTGTTTGATTCACTTACAGGATTTCAAAGGTATGGTGTAGATGCTTATATACTGAATTTACAATGGCAAAAAGTTCAGTTCTGTTAATTTCATAGATGCTTCTACTGATTGTCTCTTCTTTCTTGCCCCTCCAGGTGTTATTTGGTTTGTAGCATAGAGGCACTATGTACTCAGAGTGGAGATCCTTGCATCTTGTCATTCAAAATGATCAGGGTAACACCAGTGTGCTTCACAGCTATCCTGAGAGCGTGGGCAGAGAAGTGGCGAATGCGGTGGTGCGCCCCCTGGGGCAGGCTCTCATCACATCGCCGGTTGGGAGCGAGAGTTTGCTGAAAACAGACAAAGAAGTAAGTGATTCCTGTGGCCTCCATCACCACGATCATAGTTCTCTTCGTGCTAAGGGTCTCTTAAGAGGCTGTAGAAAATCACTTTGATAAGCCAGGTTTTTGTAAATGTGCCGTGTTTTTAGGTTAGCAGTCTGTGTAATGTTTGTACAGCCAGTTTGTGACAACTGTGTGCTTCATGGCCTGGTAGGAAGCAGTGCGTGGTGTTTGGTGCTTATCTGAGCTATTATACCCAAAGTGCAGGCTGAAGGGGTTGGGAAACTCAAAGGCTTGAGTTGGTTAACACTTTAAAGCCTTTGTAGAGCAGCCTTTGTATTTGCTGAAGCAAGTGTGTGACTGTAAGTGTTGGTATTATTGAGCGTTTATTTGCTAGAATCTGCAAGTCTTCTACTACATCAGTTTATGATCATCCAGCTCTGTGTGTTCTGAGGAATTCTTTCTATGATTCAGACTGAAGAGATTCTTTTTGAAATCACAAGGCTGCATGAGAACACCGAGTCATTAACTTGAGCACGGTAGGGATAGGTTGCCAGTTGGACTTGGTGATCTTAAAGACTATTTACAGCTTTAATGATTCGGTGATTCTAATGTGTGTGTCCATCAGATCAATGCAGTTGTGTGGTAAAAGAAATTCTCTTTACATTAGAGCTAGTGTGCGTTAATCATCCTTCACTGTCTAAAATTCACTGTTATTACCTTCACTTTATTCCTAGGTAAAATGGACGATGGAGGTGGTTTGTTACGGGCTGACCCTGCCCCTGGATGGCGACACCGTGAAGTACTGCGTCGATGTGTATACAGACTGGATTATGGCTCTTGTGTTACCTAAGGACTCGATTCCTTTACCAGTTATTAAGGAACCAAACCTTTATGTTCAAAGCATTCTCAAACATCTCCAAAATCTCTTTGTACCAAGGTGAGTGTCAGGGTGGTGGTGTTTAGGGTGGGAGAGATCCACAGGCATCCAGAGCCATGGTCAGCAGGCAGTGTGTCAGAAGGACGTGATGAGCCGTGCAGGCTCTTGTTTAAGTGAGGCTGTTATTGCAGCCAAGTTACAGGGATTCACTCCATCCATGCCTTGTTGCTTCTGTGTTTAGGTAACTAATCACTTCAGAACCATTATTATTACATGACTGGGGGGAGATTTTTTTTTTTTAAAAAAAAAAAACTAAATCATGTGACTGTCTGCTAATAATGTGTACAAATGAGGTAAGTAAAAGCATGTGGTGGCCATCCCATGCTGTGTTGACTTACAGCTTCTTCCATCACATCAGAAGAGTAGACACAAGCTGCTCCCTGCACGTTTGCCAGAATTTGCTGCCTGTTAAATGAACATAATCATATTGATCATGTTTCACTGATCATTTTCAAGGAGCCCTATGGAAGTGCTTGCTATCTATCAGCCTGACGTTACCCTGAACATCATTGGACAGTGATGTTCATACGCATCCTCCTACCTCTTAGACAAAAAGTTGTGTTGCTTTGAGTGCTCTCAACGTTAGATTTCATGTGTAGTTTATGACAAATGGGCCTGATGGTGCAGAATACAGGCTGAATAAAGAAAAAGCTGTCTTAGTAGTTCCCTGTGAAACAGTACCTAGGTACTAGCTCCTGAAATTACTTCAGGTCTGGTACCTCCAGACCTCTACTGAACAACCTACTTTGCAGAATGCTGCATCACTGTGAGTGGCCTTCAAAACCCTGCTTGGGTTACTTAACTTCATCTGAAGGTTGTACTGATAAAGGGCTTTGAAGAGGAATTCGTACAAGCTCAAATGAAGAGGTCGTTCCTGTTTGATTGTTTCAAATTCTGCAACTTAATTGGAGTTTTAATTCCTCTAAATGCACAGTGGAAGATGTTTTAATTCCCTTTAAAGGACAGTCAGGGAAGCAGTGGAGGGAAGAAATTTAAAGAAAGGATGCTTCAGATCAGGTTTCCACAGAAAGCTGTCTCTACTGGTCATTTCTTGGTGACTACCCAAGGAAGGTAAAGAAACACAGTCACTCCCTTCCTGGGCTGCTGGCATCTAGCCTAGAGCTGGCTGATGCCTTAGCTGGGCTTTGTCATGGGACTCCATAAGAATAAAACCAGAACTCAGTGTGTAGTAACCTGCTGTGAACCTGTGTCCAAGAAGAACAAAGAACTGCTATCTTTCCAGTTTCAAGCCGTGACCCTGAATGCACTTATGCTCAAGTTTCAAATATTTTGCAGTTGATAAGATAATTTTCAGATGTCTTCAGTATCTTTGAGTTGTTCACTCTCTTGGAGACATTGTCTTTTTTTGGGGAGGGCTTTGTTACACTGCTGATTCCTTTATCTGGGATCTTTAGTCATTGTTTCTCAATAAGCAGCTCTCAAACAGAGGAGATATTTAATCTTAGAATCCTTATTCATCAGTATCTTTTTCTTCTGAAAGCAATTGATGCAGGTTCTGGGACCTGTGCTCTCACTTTAAGCACCAGATCATTTCAACTAAACACAGTGATTATTTTTACAATGCAATAATACATACCAGTCTAAAACAGCATTGCAGTGGCACACACAGTTGAGGTAGAAGGTCCTTTGACTGCTGAGCACCTTCATGTGCTGTGTTGACATGTTTACTGTGTCAAAAACACTGGGTGCTGGGAAATGTGGCAGTTGTTAAAGAAGCCTTCCTGAGGGATGTCTGTCCTGCTAGAGCTGGTGCAGATCTTTAATAGGTGCAGAATGGAATTTGCTCAGTCCAGAAACACTTATTTCCTTGGCCCAGTGGAGAATGCACTCTTCTGTTTGATAAGCAGCTTTTTCCTGTGTTCCTTTGCCATGTGATAGAGGCCCTGTTAACAGTCAGTTTTGTTTCCTGTGTGCTGCTGACACTACTGCTGGTCTATGCTTCTGCTCTAACTTCATATATGGAGATTGATGCAGGATGGCAGACCACATGTGATGTCTGCTGAATGAAACAACTGACGTCTAGATACAGGCTGAACAGAGAAATCATGACTGTAAACCTGTGTGCACACCACAAAGCATAAGATCTCTCTTATTTTTCTTTCCCAAGCTCTTAACATGTATCTGAAAGGCTGTGCTTGGTGGTTTTTTTTTTTTTTTTTCTTCTGTTGTACCTGGTGCCTTTTCAGGAAGAAGATCTTAAAGCATTTCCTTCAGTTGAGCAATGCAAAAACATGATGTAACAAACATTAAATACAAAATTATGTTGTGTGCAAATTCTTTGAGAGGAAGGAAGGACTCATTTTCTTACATGTCTGTGTAGAGGGAGAAGAGTCTACTTTTGGTACCAAGCTGCTGCAGGTGCCTGGTGCTGATAAGCACTTGTACATGCTTACCCAGGAGCTCTTGTAGCAACCTATGCTACAGTATACTGATGTACATTGGTAATATATTGAACTATTTCCTGTAAGTCTCCAAAGTAGCAGGAAACACGAAGCTCTAATTGCAAACCTACGTCGTGTAGAGGTTTGGGGTTACGACAGCTTCCTTCCTTGGCCTGGTGTCCTGACAGTGCAGCAGATGCTTGGCTGCCTTAGAGGTGGTGGTTCAGAGTTGTGGTGTATCAGTGATATGTACTCACCAGATACAAAGCAGATGTGTATCATAAACCATTTTAGTTTGAACATCCAGCTGAAGCAGCTGTTTACATGTTCTGTATGTTCATGAAATAGTGTGGTGCTGACAAAATAAAAACACTGGAAGAAGAGCAAGTCCAACTCCTTGTCTTCTGTCTGTCAGACACTAAGGAACAAGTGCATCTTTCCCTGCAGCACTGACCTGTCTGCCCTGCTGACTGGAGGACTTCTTTTCGTGATGTAGTTGAGCACCCCTCAAGGCCCCCCCCTGGCTGTCCATCTCTAGCAATGCTGTGATGCTCAGGGAGCGTAGCACACAACTTAACTGAGGTAGTTATTACTCTTAGGTAAGATTTCAGTTTGCTTGAACCATGGAAAGAAATTACGAAAGCTCTCTTTTCCCTGCCCTGTGGAATATAGGGTTGTAGACATGGCCCTGGGGTCTGCTCTCAGGTGTCTGGAATCTTTTGAGAGGCCACAGGATGTGCGGCTGGCCAAGCATAACAGGCCTTTCTGATAACTTCTTATTTATGTATAAAATTCTGGGAGCAATTCTTGCTGAGTGTAGGTGTGGGAACCATAAGGACGGGTCCTGCAGGAATCTCTGGAAATAAGCCTGCAGAATGTTGCAGCTGAAGTTTGCCATTCAATTGACTTTGTGGGGAAAAAAGGAACTGATAAAGGGGTGAAAGCTGCAGAGCTGCCTTTCCCACTTCTGTTCAGAAGTTTCCCATTAGTCACCAGGAGCTCCTATTTGTACATCCCTTAATATTAATTCATTAAAATCTTAGGGAATCAATTCTTGAGACAGGTATTGAAACATAATGAATGACAAAATAAGGGTATTCTTTGCTTAAAAAGTTTGCTTTGTTGCATGGGGGGGAAAGCAGTGCCATAACAGAGGCTTGCTTGTCCCCAGCTTTGTTGCTTTACCAAGATGATCTGTTAGGAGCAGCAGCACAGAACAACCCCTTGACGTTCTGAACTGTGACTGCTCCACAGTTTTGCTCTAGGCATTGTCTCTTTGTAATCTTACTTCCAGTACTGGCATACAGTATGTTTATACTGCACGGATAAGAGCTGGTGATCCTTTTAAAAAGCATCTATCAGTACGTGATCTCAATTTGAGCTGCTGTTCCCTGAAAATAGCAGATCCTTGTCTAGTGGATCTGCACGTTCTTGAGAGCTCGCTGTGTGAGCGACTCGTGGTTTACGTTGTGCTGGCAGTGCTTGGGCTCTAGCAGTGCTGCCTAGTGGGTTGGTGGATGGTCATATCTTTGTGATTCTCTTTATTAGCAACTGGTAGGATGACTTAAGCTTACAACTTGAAATTTAAGCTTGCAAGTCAAAAAATGGCTCACATATATCGCGCACTTAAATCAGTAAGCTCTTTTGTTCTTCATTCTTTCACTCCTTAAGTTTTTGGGCGTGCTTAGATGTGTTTACCAGTGTCCTCAGATACTCTCCAGAGCACTTCATGTAACTGTTCTGTCCCCATTCTGCCGTGCACAAACTGAAGAGAGCCTGCTGCACATGCAACACCTTGTGCTGCGTGACTCAGCAAAGGCAGTGTGTAAGTGGTTCTTTAAGTAGGGAAAAACTTCATACTGCCAACTTCCCTTTCTTCCCTCCTTATCCCTCCTTTTAGTCTAGTTTCCCTATTTAATGACTTTCTTCAAGATTTTCTTTTTCCTGAATGCCAGAAATTCAAGACAAGAGTTGGGTGTGCATTCGGAAGCAAGAGGGGAACAAGGAAGAAGTTTTAACATGTTTTCTTCTAAATTCAACACTTTCTTCTCACTTAAATATCAGACAATGAAAGGTATCTTAGCATTTGCGTTGTTTGTCCTAGTAAATATTTTCTTGTTGCAAGAGATTATACTTTCTCTGGTTAAAATGTTCACTTTGTGTCGGTGAGTTCGTGTAAAGAAAAGCATTACGGTACACCTTGTACTTGTTAAGACAGAGTTAGGATGCTCAGAGGCACAGCTGTGATGCATACATGCAAATTAGTTCATGTTCTTGGTTCTGGTTCAGTCATACTGATGTTTCCTCTTATAATTGCTCAAAGTTCTGATTACTGAACATGCTGCTCTATGGTGTATTCCATTTCCTCTTTGGAGACTCAAGTAATGTTTTCCTTCTCTTGCAGGCCAGACCCAGGATCTAGTCAGATTAGGCTGTGCCTGCAAGTTTTGAAAGCAGTCCAGAAACTGGCTCGTGAATCAACAATTATGGCAAGAGAAACGTGGGAGGTTTTGTTGTTATTTCTTCTTCAGATTAATGATACTCTTCTAGCAGCTCCAACTGTGCAAGGTTTGTGTTAGACTTTCATTTGATCCAATTACTAGAAAATGCTTTGGCTCTGCTGGATGTTGAACTGCTGTGGGAATTTGGGGAAATGTGTTAAAAGCTTGTAGTAGCCACCAGAGTGCAATAGCTCACTCCTAATTCTGCTACACTACTCCAAAATAAAGCACTGCCAGAGAAGATTGAGTGCTTCAGAGCTGAGTCAGTTTTCCAAAATATGTTTTTGCAGAACAGTGGACTCAGTACACAAAGAGTTCGCAGTGAAGGGTGTAGATAACATTGTTCCCTGTTAGTTTCACTGGAAGCTACACATGCCTTCCAGTTTGGCCTGCCTACAGAAAAATAATGTTATCAGTTTATACCTTACTTAAAATGAATAAGACATCAAATATTCTGTGTGCAGAAGACAGCCTAAGGTCAGTAGCTGAATTCCCAGTACCTGTTAGTGACGCGAGCACGTGGCTGGGTTTTCTCTGTTACCTTTGGGCTTGTAAAAAGTTCTGTATGAAGCAATGGGGAATTACCTTAAATGATGAAAAATATGATGAAATGATTGGGAATCTTTACAGTTATTGCTTAAACTGAAATCTAATATGTGAGATGCAATTGTGGAGAGGGTCCAGAGGAGAGCCAAAAAGATAATCAGGGGACTGGAGCAGCTCCCCTATAAACACAGGCTGAGGGAGCTGGGCTTGTTCAGCCTGGAGAAAAGAAGGCTGCAGAGTGACCTCATTGCAGCCTTTCAGTACCTAAAGGGAGACTGCAAACAGGAGGGGAGTCAACTTTTGGAAAGGGTGGATAACAGCAGGACAAGGGGAAATGGTTTCAAGTTGAGGGAGGGAAGATTGAGGTTGGATGTCAGGGGGAAATTCTTTACAGAGAGAGTGGTGAGGTGCTGGAACAGCTGCCCAGAGAGGCTGTGGATGCCCCGTCCATCCCTGGAGGTGTTCAAGGCCAGGTTGGATGGGGCCCTGGGCAGCCTGGGCTGGTATGAAATGGGGAGGTTGGTGGCCCTGTGTGTGGCAGGGGGTTGGAGCTTCGTGATCCTTGAGGTCCCTTCCAACCCTGGCCATTCTGTGATTCTGTGAGGGTTGTGAGAGTCCTTTAGTATCAAAATAATCCTTGAGGAGATGCCTGAAGTTATTTAGACTGAGCACTCACTAAAAGTATGCTTCATTTCTGCTGTAAGGTGGCATTGCTGAAAATCTGGCTGAGAAGCTTATTGGCGTGCTGTTTGAGGTGTGGTTACTGGCCTGCACACGGTGCTTTCCAACACCACCTTACTGGAAAACTGCCAAAGAGATGGTGGCCAACTGGCGGCATCACCCTGCAGTCGTGGAGCAGTGGAGCAAGGTCATCTGTGCTCTTACCTCCAGGTAGGAGAAGTTGTGCACAAAGGCATAGACACCTGCTGCTGCAATCACAGCTTGATTTCTCTGGAGTTTCGTGTTTCTGGAATGCACAGTGATCCCAGAGTGAATGAGCAAAACAAAGTGCTTAATAAGAGATTTTACAAATGCTCTTGGCTCTTATGGTTTGGGCACGTATGTATTTTCATTCTGCAAGTGAATTGTCTAAATAGATTTGTCCCTGTTACTGCATAATCTCAGCCTTCCTCCAACAATCGGCATTTTACTCAGTGTGAACGTGTGTCAGTCTCCATCGCTGACTTTTATATTATGTTCTGTGAGGAATGAGTCATTAGCATTAGTGTAGTGTTACAGTTTGTGTGTGTGACAGGCATCACCGAGGTGATGAGGTGCTTATCACCACTGGGCAGTGCCTGTGTGTGAGGCAGCTCCTGCTCTGTAAAGCTGCAGCGATGCTATGGGCTGGCTGTGGGGATGTGAGGGGCCAGATGCAGGCTGCAGACTTCTTGCACAGGAGCAGTACCAGGCCACGCTGTGAGGAACTGGGGGCTGCAGGGGAGGCTGGGCTGTAGCAGGAAGCCTCAAACAGTGAGGAGAGCATCAGTACTGATAATGCTGGGCTCTTTGTGCTGTGAAGTCTTTGTGGGGCGAATCTCATCCTCCTCGAGATGTTGAAGTGAGGATCAGGGGGATGAGTCTCCCCTGAGACTTACTAGTGATTTGCATGAAAGTTTGAAAATGTATTAAAATTGCTGCGCTGTGAAAAATTAAATACTGAAAACTTGCTTTTTAATTACTTATTAAAAAAGCAAGTGTAAATAGATGTTTCCAGATTATGCAGCTAATTGTTAAACCTTTGTGGGAAACAAAGCCTCAATGCAAGTTTTGTGTATTTCACACACTACTTCTTTAGCTATTTCTTGTTTGTTCGATGCAGCATTGCGTAACAGAAGATATTTTATGAATCACTGATCTGAAAAGCGCAGCTCTGAATCCAAACATGCGTTGGCATTTCTGTTCCATGCACTTCATGCCCAAATTTTATCCTTCACTGTTGACTAACAGTCTTAGCTCTGTTGATTCACAGTAATCTGCAGGATTTCTGTAACGTTTATTTTGCTGATCTGCTGCATAGTAATGTTGGTTTATATCTAGCAAACTGAACTCCTCTGGTGCTAACTTTAAGTGCAGTGCATTTAAGCTGAATTTTTAATACTTAAATAAAATAAAGGCTTCAAACAGTTGAAGTGCTGTCCTAGTGAACTGTTGTCTGAATTGAGTTGTCATCCATCAGCCACAAGTAAGGATCTCAAAGCCAGATAGCAAATTATATTTGGAACTTTGTACCCTTATGCAGTGTTAATCTGTGTCCATGGCTGTGATGAATAAAACAAGATCTCTTGTGCTGCCATACCAATAGGAACTGCTTTTCCCCATATAGGGTGCTGTAAGTCTGTTTTAACTGATTGTGCATTACAACTTATTTCTGTTTGTAGTCATTCTTGAGTAAGTCTCAAATTTCAATTAAGATCCTATCAGCTCCCTGGAGGAGCTGGTTTCTTGCAGCCTGTACAAGAGGAACTGTGAAGCAGTGTTCTTCTGCAGCACACAGATGTGGGGCATGACTTAGCAAGAAGTGCAAGCCAAGGCTGATGCTAGGATTCACTGGGAGGTTGATTAGGTTCATGATGAGGTTGTTGGGTTTTTTTTGCAGCAGAACCCTATAGGAGCTTGCCTTTGGGGCCCCAAGTGCAAATGGGTGCTGGGGCATCCAGCGTGGCACACTGCAAAGTGGCTCCTGCTCAATATGGGAATGTGTATTTCTGTTTTGGACTTAAAGAAGGCCTCGTCCTAAAGTTCATCTACTTTTCTGCCCAAACAAGTCATCATGACAGACTGTGGTTCCCTACATGCTGTGACTGTCTTTTGCATGAATTGGCTGCAGTGAATGGTAACTCAGGCTCTTTAACTTTAGGAGTAAGCAGGACTTCCACAACACCTGGTGAGAAATGGTGCTACAAGACCATTTAATTTAGGGAAACCAAAAAGTAGTTTGTGGGAATTGTTAGGAATTTCAGAAGGCGCTGCTTTTCTCTCTTCCATGCTTTTAGAAAACACCAAGATTATGCTGGTCAGGGAAGTGAGCAAAGTTTGCAGAGCTGGGGATGAAGCAGGAATCAAATCAGACAGCAGCAGCTCATAGAGGCTAAGCAGCGAGGATCCCAAAGCTCTTGTCTCAGCCATTGTCCTCGTGGTATCGTGTTGCTGTAGTTCCCTTGTGGCCTCCTGCTCATTTCTTGGAGGCTTTGATGCACTGTTACATTTTGAGGAGTATTAAGAGCATGACAGACGTGTCTGACTTGCTTTCTAGATTGCTGCGTTTCACCTATGGACCTTCGTTTCCTCCGTTTAAAATTCCTGAAGAAGATGCTGGTCTGATTCCTCCTGAAATGGACAACGAGTGCATCGCACAAACTTGGTTTCGCTTTTTACACATGCTGAGGTATTGTAGCTACAACCATCCATTCTGTGTGTTCTTGCATCGTTTCTGAAGATTTTCAAATGAAAAATTTCTCTGGAGGCTGCAGAGCTTGATGTACTGAAGTAGAACAAAGTGTGAGAAATGCGTGGCACAAGAGCCCTGCAGCAGTGCAGGGCAAAGCTGTGGTGGGCCGCTCCGTTCTCAGCACACCACTTTGTGTTCTGAGTTAACAAATTCAGTTAAAAAGTGTTTTTTGCTATGTGGCATTTTGGAGGATCTTAAAAACAGGACTTCAATAGAATTGTGTTTCTCTGAGCTAGCAAACAGGAAGAGCAGAACAGTAACTGAGATGTGCACTGCTTCCATTTGCTTTGCAGGGCGTTAAATCTAACCTACAAAAGATTATTTCTAAAATTGGGTGTATCTCTTTGCTTTTATAAGGAAAGCTTCATAGGTTAATTTTAACATCTATATTATCCTTCCTCAAATTTGCAGCAGAACCAAGTGGGTGCTTTGTTCTGAGGAGAGTTGGGAAGGCATCACATTAATGTTCCCAATGGACAGCATAATTGACTTTTTCCTCTAAAATCATCCTAACGCTTATTTAGGTTTAAAATTTACTTATTTTAATAGTTAAAATTTATTCTTCATTTCTGAGAGCAGTTTTGCCTTTCTGTAGTGTCTTCCCAATCCAGGCTTGATGGTGCAGCTTTGTATTTGGCAGGAAAAACCTCAAGTTTTTACAACCTACTCCCTCACTTTCATTTCATTTTTTTCTGACAATGTGTAATTTATCACTTACCCTTTGGGAAGAATCTTAACTATGTAAGATCTTAAAAATGGAGCTCAGAAGTCCTGAACACTACTGCAGCTGCAGGATTGTTCTCTGTAGGGTGTGCTCTTGCTCACTGGGTCTTAATAAATTAAGATTATTTGAATGCTTGAAGCTTTTTAAAATAGAGAATTTTTTGTTGTTGTTTTTTAAATGTTTGAACACAGTGTGCCACTACTAAACCAGGAAGGAAAAATGGACTTCTGTGACTCCTGTGGTGAAGTAAAAGCAACAAAAAAGTCTCTATTAGAAAAAATGCTGGCAGAAGATGCTGACCTTTTGAGGGTTTTTTATTTGATGATCTCACATGTTGCTGTTAATTAATTGCCTTAAAGCATTACATCTCTAAGCATTCTTGAAATCTTAAAAACTGTCCTTAAACTGACTGAAACATATCCTCTTTTTTTCTGTGTGCAGTAATCCTGTGGATTTGAGTAACCCAGCCATTATTAGTTCTACCCCCAAATTTCAGGAGCAGTTTCTGAATGTGAGTGGGATGACTCAAGAGCTGAATCAGTACCCCTGCCTTAAGCATCTGCCTCAAATATTCTTCCGTGCCATGCGTGGGATCAGCTGTTTAGTGGATGCTTTCCTAGGTAATGCTTTCGACCTACCTGTGGGTAGCTGGGAACAGTAACTGGTCACTACTTTCTTCTTTTCTTTTTTTAATCTGGATTCTTCAGAAAACAGATGTGACCATTTGTCATTTGCGAGTACAGCCTAAAATTGGTAGGGAAGGGACCTGAAGCCACTTGTAAATAACTGTCTGTGTACACAGTAGTTATATTTGAAAGTTGCAGTCGACCTTAGTGTTAAACGAATGCCAAAAATGTTTTAATAAAATGTCGAGTCCAGCATCAACGTCTCTCCCCCAAATAAGGCTTCTTTCTCCTTCTATCTGACCAGCAATACCAGTGTTACACTTTAGCACGTTGTGAGCACTGACAACTTTGCTTAGTGACTTTGTGGCAGCAGCTGTGTGCGCTGCCCATTTCTTGGTAGGTATTGATTTTTGATTGGCATCTTCAGGTACTTGTTCTGCAGCTGGCAGTTGCCCCTAGTTCAGGAATGGTTTGAATGCTGCTGCTGAGAAGAAGCTTTGTTTCTTTGCACCTCCTGGTAACGGAGTTGTTCAGGTTCCCTGAAAGATGAGGTTAGATATAAGCACTGGCTGCTAATTTTTAAGTAACGTTGTAAAGCACTTGAAATGTAAGGCAGTATTCTAAGTACCCTTCAGTCTTACTGAAAATTCTTCAGAGTTGATGTGCTATTGTAAGGTCAGAAAAGCCACCTGTCTCCTGCTTTTTTTCTTTAAATGTGTGCAAGCAAGTGTTGCCATGTGCCAGAAGTGTGAGCTGCTACTGGACTGCAGGTGAGCAGGTACAGAAACTGTGCAGGAGAAAAAATAGGCTGAGAAAGTAGGCTCTGTGGGTACCCTGTTCCCCTGTGCAAACAAGCTTTGGTTGCTGTGTTTTTCACTTTGGTAGGCATAGCACTGTTTAAAAAGCTACCAAATGGCAAAAAAGAGGCGATGGTCAGTTGTCACTTCCACAGCCTGGGGCTGTTCTATGAAGTGATTGTGGCTTTTAAAAGGGGTTGTGGGTACTGTGCTTCTTTCAGATTGCTTGCCACCAACTTTAGCTATCATTAAAATTCCTTATTTACTAGCACTACATCTGAGATACTGAATGTTCAGTAGTCAAATACTATTGGAAGTTGTGAAAGGAAAACTATGTATAGGAAAGGCCATATTTTGCTTCATAAAAACATCTTTGTATTACTCTATCACTCTACTAATCTGTGACGAATTTGAGAATCTCCACTGAAATAATCATAAAATAAATAAAAATTGCAATCTGAGCATTAACAGGGAGAGAATCCTTTCCTGTCTGTGCAAGCTGAATTAAAAAAACAACAACAAAAAAGCCCAACAAAGAAATGTAGCTCTTGGGCACAGCAGAGCTGCCGGTGATATCAAATACAGCACACACACACAGTGTGTCCTGGGCAGATGGATGAATTAAGCTAAGGCTAACGAGAAATCCTGTTACTACACCAACATTGAAGCACATTGTTTTTATCTTGCCCTCTCTGGTACACGCTTAGGTGATGTGTGCATTTGGCAAAGTGTTCCACCTGACTTTCCACCCCTTCAAATAACAAATTGTACCAAAGGAATAAGTTTCATAGTACATACATCACCTCTGCTTGGGGCCCAGCAGCAGTGGTTCAGCAGGAGTTCATTGTTCTGTGCTGTGTACATGAAGCATTTGAGTATTTCAACGTAGTCAAAAAACTGTGTTCGGTCTTCAGACCTGCTGCAGTTTTGCATTTAGTTTTTCAGATGGGGGATGAGGGGCTGGTATTCACTGAAATGGGAAGAAGTGCTGTTTGTCACTGCAAGTTTGGCAGAGGGAATTTCTAAGCTAGTTATTTCACAATCTGTGACTAGAAAGAGTAACTTCTCACACACTTCAAATGCTTCCCCCAGGCTGGGCTGTGTGAGATTACTGATCTAACTTCTTGCTGCCAGAAAATTATAGCTTGCTCAGCTTTCTTAGCCATCCTTTGCACTGGCTGTAGTGTTTGTTCAGTGAGCTGAAGCAGCTCACTAAAACAGCAGAATGCTGCACTGTGTATTGGTTTTGTCTTAGTTTAGTGAGCTGACTGAGGGTCAGACATCCTAGAGCTGCCTCAGAATGGGCTGTGGGATGTAGGTTGGAAAAGAAGGGCAAAGGTGAGATGCAGCTCATTTTTGGCAGGAGTGAGCTGTTAAATTGGCTTTGGCAGGTGACCCTTGCACCTTTCCCCCTGCCTGCTCCTAGGCTTTGTACTCCTGTGTGCATTTTCCCAGGTCCTGAAGTCGTGGTTTTCTGTTCAACATTTGTTTATCTAACACAACCAGAATTCTCTTCTGTTTGGGCATTTATTTTTGCCAGGAAAAGGGAAAAATGTCTTTCTTGTTATGTCTGCTCATGGAAGCGGGGGCGGAGGGAAGGCTAGTTTATTTACAGAAGGTCCAAAGGCTGAGTAACTGCGCTGCTGTGTGAGCTCATAGAAGAGGCGCTGAGAGCTTGCTGGATTCTTGCAGGCATTTCACGACCCCGCTCAGACAGCGCGCCGCCCACCCCCGTGAACAGGCTGAGCATGCCCCAGAGCACCGCCATCAACACCACCCCACCCCACAACCGAAGGCATCGGGCCGTGACTGTGAATAAAGCAACAATGAAAACCAGCACTGTAAGATTTCGCTTTCTGTCTCTATGTACTGGTGCTGTCGGAGGGCTCCCTTGGTCGGAGGAAGTGATTTTCATTTTCCTGGGAGCTGATTTGTTCTTCCGTTCAAACAGGCAACCACTGCACATGCTTCCAAAGTGCAGCACCAACCGTCCTCTACTTCTCCGCTCTCTAGCCCAAACCAGACAAGTTCTGAGCCACGGCCACTGCCAGCTCCTCGCAGGCCAAAGGTTAACAGCATCTTGAACCTCTTTGGATCGTGGTTATTTGATGCAGCATTTGTTCACTGTAAACTTCATAATGGAATAAACAGAGACAGCAGCATGACTGGTAAATATTACTGAAAATGTGCTTTTTTTTTTTTTTCTCCTTGTTTTATTGACATTTCCTACCTGCAAGATTAACATAATAACGTAATCAATAAATAAAAATAAAGCCTTAAGTGCTTACAGTGGTTAACCCCTCCCAGCTGAACCAGCACCAGTAGGTGTCTGGAGGCTGTTAAATTAAAACTAATAAATAAATCAATTACTTTTCACAATTAAGCACTCACTTGCTCTAACAAGTAGGGTGGTTGTAATTGTGCTAGTGGGAAAGATTTTATACAGAGGGAAATAGAAGCAAGAGTCCGTTTCCTGGTTTGAAATCTGCCTGAATATATCTTTGAGTAATTGCAAATTTTAATGGTGACTCATGTTTGTAAAGTTGTCAAACTTCACTGCAAATACCACACAAAGTGATGCTTCGTGTTTTTGGAGAACATTGTGAGCAGATGATTCTTAAAGTAGCAAGTTGTTTTCTTTCAGTGATGGTTGTTACATGCTCCCATGTAAGACGTGATACCTTGCTTGTCTGCAGTTCTCAAGTGCTAGATTTATTTGGTCTGCTACACTTTGTTCGGCTCTAGAATTTAGATGTTTTGAGATATGATAGAAGTAGGGCTCTGCTCAGAGAGGCTTTCATGCACTCTCTTTCCTTGAGTGATATATATTCAGAAAAAAAAAAAAACCTCTCAGTCCTTGCATGTTTCCTGTTCTTTATATTGTACTTCAGATGTCTTCTAAAGCTTTAGAAGACATCCGTTCATCAGAAGTTCACTGGCCAAAGTAAGAAAAATGGATAGAGGTTTGTTGTAGCAGGTTGGATTTCTAATAATACTCAATATTAGTAGTTAAACTAATGAACTTCCTTGTTCACTGTATCACAAATCACATTCTTCCTCTGTGCAGAAATGATGGGTTTAGGATTTGGGATATCCCAAATCCATTTTAAAGTAAGCACTGAAGAAGGATCTGTGCTGCTGAAACTCTACAGAGAGGCACCGTTCCTCTGGAGATCTCAAGGTCAGCTGCTCAGAAAACATCTACTAAGGAGCTAACCTCATGGAGTTCCTGTTGACTTGAAGTATCAACGTCTTCAGAGTCAGATCAAAGTCAGGATTGAAAGGCTTATTTTCTAGGAGTCTAATCTGTGAAACCGGATGCCTCCAAGAGAAATCTTTTACATCTTGAAATCTGTAAGGCGAAAGGTGCTGCGTAGGACTGATGAGATGGGCCAGAAGGGCTGTATGCTGTGGTCCCTCTCCATCATACAAGTGGGGCCCATCATACTTGGTGTTGTGCCCATTCACTTGCCTCTGCTTATTCTACTCAATATAGAATCTTTAAGGTTGGAAAAGACCACTGAGCTCATCCATCTAGTGCAACCGTCACTAAACCACTAAACCACATCCCTCAGTGCCACGTCTTCATGATTCTTAAACACCTCCAGAGATAGTGACTCTCTAACTACTTCCCAGGGCAGCCTGTGCCAATGGCTCAGCACTTTCTGAGAAGAAACACCTCCAGATCCTTTTTCTGTGTGCAACTTTCCAGCCCTGTGCTCCAAGCCTGTAGCAACGCATGGAGTTGTGATCAAAGGGCAGGACTCTGCAATTGGTCCTACTGAAGCTCATGCAGTTGGCCTGAGCCCATCGATCAGCCTGTTCAGACCCCTCTGCAGGGCCTTCCTACCCCCAGGCAGGTTGACACTTCCTCCCAGCTTGGTGTCATCAGCAGATGTCCTGAGGGTGCACTCAATCCCCTCATCCAGATCATCAGTGACACCTTTAAACAGGACTGGCCCCAATACTGACTGCTGAGGAACACAGCTCTCCTGACTGGCTGCCAGCTGGATGCAATTCCATTCACCACCACTCTCTGGGCCCAGCCCTGCAGCCAGTTCCTTACCCAGTGAAGAGTGTAGCTGTCCCAGCCATGGGCTGCCAGCTTCTGCAGGAGGATTCTGTGGGAGACAGCATGAAAGGCTCTGCTGAAGTCTAGGTGGGCTATGGCAGCAGCCTTTCTTGTATCCACCAGGCAGGTCGCCATGTCATAAAGGAGATGAGATCAGTCAGGCAGGACCTGCCTTTCACAAACCTGCGTTGGCTAGACTTGATCCCTTTGGTGAGGCTTGTGAAAAGAGATCAGCAGAGAAGGGACAGCTAGTTGTCACAATCCCTGTGCTTAGGGAAGGGGACAAAAGGAAATCTTGTTATGAGTTTCTTCGTCTATGGGTTAGCTATGCCTGTATATCACAGTCCATCTCCCATTCTCAACAGCTTAGTACTGTAAAGCTTATGTCACTAGCTTGGATGCATTTTGCATGTTTGGCACTGTTATTGATAAATCTTGTGTAAGCAGCAGGAAGAAAATCCTCTCTGCAAGACCAAGGAGGTCTCACTGCCCTGGTACACCTTTCCAGAAAGGTAACACAAACTTCCAACAAATACAGATATGATGTGATTTCTAAATAACCGTTCGTGAGCTACCCTAGAAGAAACCATGAAGGATGAGATGCAGTTTCAAATTCTACTTCAGAAATCACTTCAGCTCCTTTAAGTGCGCCCTACTGATTCACAGGGACTAGCACTTCACCTTTCTCCCATCTTACAAGACATCTTTTTGATGAGCTTTATGAATTAAGGAGTAGTTGGTCGAGGCCCAGGCAAATTAGTAGATATTGCTTTTCTAGACCTTTTGCTTTTATTCTAGATGTGGTGCCTCGTGTTTCTGATTTCTTCAACTCTTTCACCTCCTGAAAGGAAGTCAAGAAGAGCAAGAAAGGCATTTCTGAGATGGAAAAAATATGCAACTTGTAGGTTTTGAGCTGAAAAATATTTGGGTGGATGGGAGAGTAACCCAGGCGGCTCTAGTTGATCTTGCTTCGATTTGAGCAGGGTGCCCAAATAGGTGGTCTCCACACGTTCCAACTTCAGCTATTCTGTGGTTATGTGAAAACACTGTCCCGCTGTATAATCAATAAATGTCATGTATCATCAGTGAATGTTATATAAGGATGTTATAATTATGAAATAAGAGAGTTTGGCAAAGCAGATTATAATAACAAGAAGAGAATAGACAGAACGCTTACCTGCATCCTGGGCTTGCTGTAAAACTCCAGAGGAGGGATCTCCAGAAGAAATCCCTCCCCACTGGTAATCAGCTCTTCAATGGGCCTGGGGGAGGTGCAGCCAGCCTCCACCCTTCCAGCAGCACGGGAGAATCGCCTTCACCTGTGCTCCCAGGGCTGACGCATTGCTCGCCTCAGGTGATCATTCAGAGGTTCAGGCTGTCATTCAGCAGTTCCCACACACCCACTCTTTTCAGTTTTCTGTTATTTCCATGGTAAAAATTGTACTAATCTAGAATCCTGCAATAGTTATCATAGATATTTCACATTTGCAGTTGTAGTGTTTTCAGCCTGTGTCTGTCTGGGAAAAGAGAGATTGTAGAATTATTTTCTCTGCTGTGAGGTTAGCTGGAGGTAATCTGTATACAGCTGAATGTTGATAGGGATTCATCACCTAGAAAGCAACCTTCCTGTTTGCTCTGAGCCTCCTCCTTCCAGATGGTGTTTCATAGTTGTTTCGATTCTGAAGACGTAACAGAGATCTTGGCATCATCAGTGCCAATGCTCTTGTGCCTGTTCTATGTCAGGTTTTAGCTTCTGCACTGAAACCTTAAAGGTAAAGCTTTATAGAAGGCAGCTACTAAACATTATTCTGTATCATGGGAAGAGAGGAAAAATGTTCTGTTCTGTAATGTGTTTGGCATGGAAAAGAGCTGGGTGTTGCTGGAACAGTGTGTAGAATTGGATGGCTCAGTGATCGTTATTTCAGTGTGGCACGGATTGCTCCACGTGATAAAACTCCTGAAGAAATCCATTGGGAAGGCTTTAGGAAGATAGTCCTGAATATGGCAGCTCTGGGGAGTGCGTGATGTGCTGAACTCCAGCTGCATGTGTCGGACACGCCGGGCTGTAGGAGTGTGTTGCTCATTGCTGTCCTCAGCAAACGGTGAGGACTGGGAGGAACCCATCAATCCTTTGTGCCATTGGTTCAACAAGAGGATCTTCCAGTGGGATGGGCTTGTTCTTAAACCTTGTTCCTAAAGAAGTCACAAGCTTGCCAGCCACGTGTTGTAAAGTGGTGGGGGAGTTGTGCTGCGGATGGTTGCTGGCATCACTAGGTGCTCTTGGGCCTCGAAGCAATCTCAGAGTGTTCAATCCTCATCAGCTTTGGCCCTCCTCTTGTTATTGTGGTGCCCCAAAGGCTGTATTGGTCTAGGAGGCAGGTAGGAGAAGGTAGGAGAAGCCCTGGTGAGGGAAGTTTTGAGTATTGCTGAGAGGCTTGGCATAGGTCTTGATCTCACCCAGTGTGTGGAAAATGTGAGCTGTGCAGATTGCTCTCATGATGCCTGGCTGCTGGAGTCCTTTTACTCTCTCATCTGTTTCTGGAGATTGTTTTTGAGATGCTGATCTTTCTAGTGGTGCTCTGGCTTTATTTCTGCTGTGGAAGGTTGTTGGTGGAGCTGATGGCCAGGGGAGGCATGCCGTGCTGGTTTGGGTTGTTAGCAGCATGGCATACAGAGGATGGAGCAGTAGTGCAGTCAGGAGCTCATGGTTTGGAAGCTTATGGTTGAGGAGGCTCTGTAGGTAAGTAAGCTGCCCTTGTGAGACATAACCGAGTCACTGAAGTCGTGGGGGGAGCCCACGTGCAATGGAACGTAGGCAAATGCACCTGAGCTGGGAAGGGTTAATAATCCTTTTAAATACTGATGTATGCCGATGTGAACAGATCTAAATCTTGCTAGTATTTTGTAACTTTTTGTTCCTTGTTTTGCATGATACTTTCAAAACCATAATTTTGGACCTGAATGCCGATTTCCTGTGTGTTTAACAAGCTTGCTGTATCATAAAGCTTTTAATCTATTTTTTAAACAAGCTAAAAGCTTCTTAACTTATATTACAATTTCACCATCTTAAAAGTATTTTATAACTACTGCTGTCCTTTGATTTGTTTCCATTTTATTTCTATTATCTTGCAGCATCTTTTATCCAAATTCTTCTTTCTTATAAATCTTGTAAGTAGGAACAAGTAGCTTTTCCTTAATTGCGGTCATGCTTTTCTTTTTCCATAATCCCATCTTTTATTTGTAAATTCATTCTCATTGTCCCTTGTAGCTTTTGCACTTTTACTTGAAAAAGACAAGTAATTTTTTTGTGTGTGTTTTTGAATGGGGAGGATTGTTGGCAAAAGCAAATTAATCTGCCTGAATCAGTCCCATCTTTTATGTACTTTAGTCTGTGATCATGTCATGAGTTTCAGGACTTTGCACTAACCATGTTTTTTTTTACTTAAAGCTTATTTTACAGACTAGTGTTTGATTTGTATGCATTGTGCATGTAGTGTTTTTTTTCCAACTACAGTATATTGCTGGATAGCTTATTCAGGACAAAAAATGGCTCATGGGAAGATGCATAAAGATTTGTGCTTATTTACTACTCACACTGTGAAAATTTCTAAGTTAACCATAGGTCAAACAATGAATTTATAGGCAAAAATTAACAGGAGATGCTTGTCATTGGGAAGTTTCCTTTTAAAAGAGACACAAACAAGCAACAAAAACTAAATCCAAACAAAAATCTTATCCATAAATGAAAAAGTATTCCATACATCCAAGTGTTCGAGTCTTTGTTTGCAAGGCTGATTGTGAACCTGATATTCCCGAGTATCCCAGGCACGAGATAGAGCAGCTTCTCTGGTACTGCTGGAGTTGTTAGCTTGATTAACCAGGAGCACACATTATTTGTTCTCTTTGGTTTTGTAGCTCATAAAATGTCTGAAGATCAGCATAGTCTTAGCTAAAAATAAGAACGAAAATGCTGCTTCTGCCATTAGTTTTCCAAGAGTGAACTTTTTACTGTGTTTTTTTTTTTTTCCCCTATCTCCTTGCACATTGAGGGCATTACACACAGATTTGTTTTGGTTGCCATTTTAGAAGAAATGAAGAAGCCAGCGAGATGAGCAGCCTCTTGCAGCCTGTGTGTCTGATAGTGGTGTGTGAAAGGTGTACTGCGAAAAAGGCACAAATTGAGTTGAGTCAGACTGGCAGAGCCATCCTGCAGGAACTGAGCACAAAGCTAAGCAGGATCACAGAACCTGGGGCTGGGACCTTAGAGATGATTGAGCTCCAGTTCCCCCACTGTAAGCAGCACCCAGTCACGGCGGTGATGGCGGCCTCTGGAGATGTCTGTGAGCACGGTGTGCGTTGGCACACGGGGAGGCCTGCCCTGCTGGCAGCTTCCATCTGACAGCACTCTGGGCTCGTATGGGGACAGGGGGGACCAAAGCAGGAGAGTGGCTCTCAGCAGATATGTTTTGATTTTCCTTCTTACAGCGAGTCCTTCGCAATTCTTGGATTTTTTTCTTTGTATTAAACTATCAGTTATGTTTATGCAACATAAGTAGTTTGATGTTCAGAACAAGATAGGTGATCAGTCAGTTGCAAGTAAGCACTTGTGTGGAGGTAGTAGTAATGGCACAGTGAAAACGTTGGGTGGTATTTTAAGAGTGCAAGGAAAGTCGTTTTCTGGAGATGAGAACAAGGCGAGGAAGATCCTTGTCCTCTGAGAGGGTAGGGAGGTGTTCTGGATGCAAGGAGACACTTCCCAACACAAAATTGGGATGAACTTCAGAACATGAAGGTCAATTGTTGCAATCCTTACACAGACAAAAGTTAGTTATAGCCTCAAATAGTTCCTAAACAGAGGCACTGACTCAAATACAGTGAACTAACAGCTTCATGATAACTGCTAAATTGGACTTGATCTTTGTGTCCAGGATCCCATGAGCCTATTATATATGTTAACAAACGCAGTGAAATGCTGTTTTTTCTTTTCCCAGCTATAGCAACTCAAGCTAGTGTGGAGTTTCGCCGGAAAGGATCCCAAATGTCCACAGATACAATGGCTTCCAACCCTTTGTTTGATGCCAGTGAATTCCCAGACAACTATGAAGCAGGAAGGGCAGAGGCATGCGGGACACTGTGTAGGATATTTTGTAGCAAGAAGACTGGGGAGGAAATATTACCAGCTTACTTATCCCGGTACTAACCTATCTTTCAGTTGCTTTATTGGTGTAATGTTACGGTGCAAAGGAATTTGCAGTGCATAGCATTCAGTTACTGTCTGAATCCTGTGCTGCCAGCTCTAAGAGCGTGGCTGGCCTGCACGAGGCACAGCTCCCTCTGTAAGCTGAGTGTTGGCTTTGTGTTCCCACAGTGCTGGTTTCCATTGGGCTTTCTTCAAGCTCTAGTTGAGGGGGAGCCCCTCCAGCAGCTGGAGGGAACTTCTTTGGTCTTTTTGACACTTGAAGGTTTTTAAACTTGCTATCAAATGTTGGTAAGATGGACAGAAGTGTGCAGATTTGAGATTGTGTTTTGTTAGACTGCACAGGGTGCTGTCTTGTCAAGAAACATGAGTATATATTTTTTAATGGTTTTTACATACAGAAATGCACTAATATTCTATTATTTGTTTGTGTGTATATATATATATATATTTTCATCGTGAACTACTTCGATTTTCAGTTTAATTTCTAGTAAAACAAGGCCATCCCGCCTATCATAGTTCTTGTTTTTCCAACTTTTTTTAGTTAAAAAGTAGAAAAAGCCAGAGGCAGAGAATCAATTTTATAAAAAGTAACTCTCTCAAACAGTTCAATTACCTTTGCCATAGGTGGCATCAAAACTTCTGGAAGACTGAACCACGTTATTTCATGTATGTGGTAGTGCTATATGCATTAGATGGTCTGTTCCTCTTACACAGTCGGATTCCTCTGTTTTGTTAAGTTGTGGAGGGTTTTTTTGTGTGGGTTTTTTTTGTTTTTTTGTTCTTTTTTTAATACAAATACACTGTAACCTAAAACCTGTAGAGGAATTTAACTGCTTTAAGAGACGAGGTACTTTGGGATGATGGCCAGCTACATAAGGTGCTTCACATCCCTCTGCTTTTTCATTTGAAATAGCTGATTCAGATTTTCCCTCTTATTTACCAGATGTTAGGATTGCTGTCACAGTGCTGTTCCCCCCCAGGGATTTTGCAGTACTTTTCTTCCATGCGAGGGAATTGGAACCGAGGTCTCCTTCACACCCTTACACGAGAAAGGCGGTGGCGGGGAGCACAGTGAGCACGCTGCTGTGCTGTAGCTGCAGCAGCTCCCAGGCCCTGGGCTGCGACAAGGCAGATGTTTCAGCAGAATGGTGCTCTGCTGGCTTTTCACGTGTAATATGTGTGATTAGCGTGGCTTTTTTTGAAACATAGCTAACTGCACTTGCCTGTGCTAACATGACTTCGGGGAACGCTCAGAAAAGCTTCTCTCAGCTCTGATTGTGAAGCTGTTCTGTGTAGAAAAGATCTAATTGCTGCACATTCGTGTTCGTGTGGGATGCTGATACTTTTTATGTGCAAATAATTCCGTCTTATCTTTCTTTGTCAGATTTTACATGCTTTTAATTCAGGGTTTGCAGATAGCAGATTTCGTTTGCCACCCCGTTCTTGCCAGTGTTATTCTGAACTCCCCTCCTTTGTTCTGCTGTGACCTGAAAGGAATTGATGTCGTGGTTCCATATTTCATTTCGGCTCTTGAAACTATTTTACCCGACAGGTAAACTGCTGTTTCCCTGTAGATGCTATCAGAAATATGGGGAGATGTTTATCTTCTGGGGTTTCTGTCGTTCCTGGATGGCTTCCACTGGAGGAGTTCTGTAATGTGGGCCCCATGTTATGTATGTATGTGATAGTGATAACAGCAGCATTTCATAAGCTCTGACTTTTCATTTCATTTAATGCAATTATCCTTAAAGTAGCAGTAGCCCTTTTTAAAAATGAGAATGTTGGAGTTGTGTTATCTTAGTATTCATTATTGAAAAACAAGAATAGGGAAAAGAATACATTTAAAGCTGATTTATTTTTAAGGAGAACTTTACAGCATGTTCTATACTGGCTGTTATTGCAGTGACTTTATTCAGAAGGTAACTTTACACACCACTAAACGGAAAGCATTGATCATTTAGACTGACAGGGAAGTTGGAATAGGTTCCTAAACTGGAATATATGCCCTTGTTTGTCAGAGCCGTACAGATTGCTAAATAACTTAAGGCACTTACTACTGCTCTGTGCCTGCCTTCCTCTCCATATCTTGTATGTGCTGATGGTGCATTTCAGCTTGAAGTTGTGCATAAACTACTGTTATTCTTCTGGGCTTAAATCTGAGCTGCTGCTGCTTGCAGGTGGATCTTACAAGCAGAATTAACTCGTGGCTTCATAAGAAACGTGGTCTGTTTCCAAGCAGAATGTGTTTTATACAAGATGCACACGAGCAAATTCTGGGGATTGTGGTAGAGCTGGGTTGGTGGGATTTGCAGTAAGCACGCAGAGGCTTGTGACTGGCATTTCCTGCCTTGAGGATGCAGAATACGAATAAGACTTCTGTTTGCTTAATGGTTCAGTGCAAAACCATTCAGGCAGGACTTCATAATTTGCTAATTGTTTCATTGCAACTGCTATAAAATCAGAATCTTGAATCTAGGAAGAAACAGCTACATTGGACGTTGCAAGTTATTTAAGACCAAGGAGTGGCTGTTTGTTTAATTTTCACTTAGGTTTGGCTTCAAAGTCTTATGAAAAGTTGATTAATTGTATGGTGCTTTGATTTGCAGGGAACTCTCAAAGTTTAAAATATATGTAAACCCCACAGAGCTAAGAAGAGCTTCAATTAACATCTTGCTGTCTTTGTTGCCTCTCCCTCATCATTTTGGAACCATAAAATCGGAGGTAATAACCTTACAGCTTTGTCTTACATGTTGAATTTTGTCTTTTGGGTTGTGGAGTGGCATTTGGGTGAGGTGAGTTGTGGTATTTGGCATTCTGTTTAGTCCTGAAACTCTTGGCACAAGTTTGACAGGAGTAATTTGTGCTGTGGATTCTGACTTTTGAAGGCAATGCCATGCTGGTGTGTTCAGTGTAAAAATGGCATCGAGTTCTAATTGATACTGAAATAAATTCATTGTTCATTCAGGTTGTCCTGGAAGGGAAATTCAGCAATGATGACAGCTCAACGTATGATAAACCAGTAACCTTCCTTTCCTTGAAGCTGAGGCTTGTGAATATACTTATAGGAGCTTTGCAAACTGAAACAGATCCCAACAACACTCAGATGATACTAGGTAATTTCAACATTTTTAATGTATCCATTGTGTTATGAAAGCGCCTTCACCTCTCCTGGAATAATTTGGTACATTCATGTGATACTTGGCAAGAAAAAGGAGAAATTCCTGTCAGATCATCTTCTGTATAATCGCCCTCATACTCTCAAAACATCTTTGAAATCCTCACGTTCTTGTTAAGTAATCTCTCTCTACCATTCTAAATGTAATCCCTTCCATTCTAAATGTGGAATGGCGCTTGAAAAGTAAAAATAGAATTAAAGCACATTCTAGCAGCAGAAGTCAGTCATAACTCAGAATGGAAATAGGAAGAAATGTTCTAATATTGGTAAAAAATCATGAGTAATGGATTACAGGGAACATTTCAGTTTTTGCCATGCTTGAGCCTAGAAACCAATTGAAATACTGGGTAACAAGTACTCTAGCATTGGCAGAATACAGATGGTGTTTGTTCAGCACTGTGTCAGTCCTTGCAGAAAAGCTCCAGCATAGAGTCTGCAGATACATCACGGTTTGGCAACAAACTGTGCGTTGAGGTGGTTGGATGTGTTGAGGTGTCAGTGCTGAGGAAGTAACTAGAAGCTGGAATCTTAAATAGTGCACAGTCTGTTAAGCAGATGTATTTTCAGGCAGGTAAAAATTTTGTTTCCTTACACTTTTTTTTCCCTTATTTGCTTCCCTCTCATTATGTAAAAGTACCTTTCTTCACATTATAATAGTTACCATGCCATTTTCCTTTAACAGTTTAAAAAGCAAGTGGATTTGCACTGGGTAGATATCTGATTGGTTCTGGAAGCCTGCCTGGATAATAGGAGAGGGAGGAAAAAGTGCACAAGCAATGAAGTGAATGGAAACAAATCCAGTCTGCAGTCTTTCTGAAAGCTGTTCTTTCAAGACAACCCTTGAAACCTTTTCTGTACAAGCAGAAGACATGGCGATAATAATTTTAAAGGATGATTTGCAGCCAGTGCTGCAAGTGAAGGGATGAGGATGTGTGTGGTTTCTTAGTCATGCTCACAGAGCACATGTTGCTGTATCAGCTGTAGGGTGAGTGATGTTCTGTTAAATCCTACCCGTGCGTTCTTACATGCCTCCACTGAGGTTGGTGCCTGCACCTCAGCTTTTCAGATACTCTGCCTATGATGTTTTTTTTACCATTACCTGGCTGACAGGCCTTACTGCTTTGTTTCTTCAGTTTTCCTACTGTTAGCTACACATGTAACAGGAGTTTATGTCCTGCTGGCTTTGGTTGGAGAGGATTCATGAGTCTGTATCTTAGCCAGAGATTCTTGCATGTTCCATCATCCTCTCTGAAACATTGGTGTTTATTTCCAGCTGCTTTTTAAATATTTGACAACAACTGGAGTGTTTCGTTTCCTATTGCAGCTGTTGTTCTCCTCAGCCCCATGGCTGTGCTGGAGGAAAAATGATGCAGCTACAGGTGGTGTGTGCCCCATGTGACATAAGGCATCCAGAGTACAGTCAGTTTTAGTTCACCTGTGTGATGCTCTTGTTGGTAGCTCTCTCTCCCGGGCTGGATTTTTCTGTCTACTTGCTGTTTGATTTGAATGCAGTAAAAAAAAAAAAAAAAAGGCATGAAAAATTGGGTCCTGGAGATCACTTGTAGGTAGAGTTTTGGTGGATCATACCTCTGACCTCCTGATTTTGGAATTTGGTTTAATGTTTTTGCTAAACTGAAATGAAATTTATATTTACTATACTGATCTGAGAGTTTGGAGAGTGGTGTTGGAAATATTGATGCAGGTTTTGGACAAAAACATCTCTGTAAAAATGCTTGTGCTGGAGTGGATTTGGGGTTCATTTGACAGGTCCTTTGATGATTGATTGTGTTGAGAATGATTGTGGTCTCATGTTGATGTCTTCAGGGTTGCTGGATGGAGCAGATATTACCTTATCTTCCAACAGGCTGCTGCCTGCACTGACAGCCCATTAAGTAGTGAAAGCACATTTTTGTTTGCCAGTTACCAGGTGCCTTTTGGCTCCTAATGGCCAAACTGAGGAAGGGAGGCTCCTTGTGCCAGGCACAGAGAGGAGCCCAGACAGTACGGCGTAACCCTTGAGGTGGCTTTGGATTACAGTGCACTTTGGCTGTCTGTTACCTAACAAATGCTGCTTTTTTACTCACAAAATCTGTAAACCTCTTTAAATGTAACCTGAGTTTTTAAATGAGCACAATCTGCTGGGAGACAGGGAAGCATTCCAGCCCTTCTGTGAAACAAGAATCCTTCTGAACGGAGGAATTCAGGAAACCTGTGTTCAAAGCGTTTTTAAAATAGCCAAAAGAATATCTCAGCTCTCATCTGCATCAAATTGCTAAGCCTGGAACAAATCCTCGTGTTTTATAAACTCTTATAAAAGCTCTGTATAAATCAGGAAGGAGATTCTGGATGCTTAGACCTTCAGTGCTTCTCTGCATTGTAGCTGTCAGTGTTCTACTGTGGTTTTTAGTTACCTCTTCTGTTTAATTCTTCAGGTGCAATGTTGAATATTGTTCAAGACTCAGCACTGTTAGAAGCCATTGGCTGCCAAATGGAAACGGTAAGATTTGTTTAATTGTTGTTTATGAAGTTATTGCTTCAGAAAAAAATGTGATTCATTTATCAGCAGTTTAAGTAAGTTCAGTCCAGAGATATTATCCCATCTAAAAATATTCTTTGTTATAGAGAATTCTGTTCAGAAGATCTTCTCATTACTTAAAACTGACTTTCAGTTTCATAGAATCATTAAGGTTGGAAAAAGCCAATAAGATCATATAGTCCAGTGTCAGCCCATCACCACTATGCCCACTAAAACACATCCCTCAAAGGACAGTGACTCCAGCACTTCCCTGGGCAGCCTGTGCCAATGCCTGACCACTCTTTTTAAGAAGCTTTCACTAATATCTTACCTGAACCCCTCTTGGTGCAACTTAAGACCATTACCTCTCATCCTATCACTAATCAGCTGGGAGAAAAAGCTGACCCCCATCTCACTGCAATCTCCTTTCAGATGGTTGTAGAGGGCGATGAGGTTCCCCTAAGCCTCCTCTTCTCCACAATGAACCATCTCAGTTCCCTCAACTGCTCCTCGTAATCTTGTGCTCCAGACCCCTCACAGCTTCGTTGCCATTCTTTGGATGCGCTCCATGGTCTCAGTGTCTTTCTTGTAGTCAGGGGCCCAGCACTGAACACAGCACTCGAGGTGCGGCCTCACCAGTGCTGGCTGCAGAGGTGCCATCACCTCCTGCTGGCTGTGCAGTTTCTGACACAAGCCAGGATGCCATTGGCTTCTTGGCCAGCCGGGCTCACTGCTGGCTCACGTTCAGCCAGCTGTCAGCTAACACCTCCAGATCCTTTTTCTGTGTGCAACTTTCCAGCCCTGTGCTCCAAGCCTGTAGCAACGCATGGAGTTGTGATCAAAGGGCAGGACTCTGCAATTGGTCCTACTGAAGCTCATGCAGTTGGCCTGAGCCCATCGATCAGCCTGTTCAGACCCCTCTGCAGGGCCTTCCTACCCCCAGGCAGGTTGACACTTCCTCCCAGCTTGGTGTCATCAGCAGATGTCCTGAGGGTGCACTCAATCCCCTCATCCAGATCATCAGTGACACCTTTAAACAGGACTGGCCCCAATACTGACTGCTGAGGAACACAGCTCTCCTGACTGGCTGCCAGCTGGATGCAATTCCATTCACCACCACTCTCTGGGCCCAGCCCTGCAGCCAGTTCCTTACCCAGTGAAGAGTGTAGCTGTCCCAGCCATGGGCTGCCAGCTTCTGCAGGAGGATTCTGTGGGAGACAGCATGAAAGGCTCTGCTGAAGTCTAGGTGGGCTATGGCAGCAGCCTTTCCATCCTCTACCAGACGAGTCACTCGTTCATAGAAGATGATGTTGGTCTTTAACAATGGTGGCTAGATTACATTCTTGCTGAGTTTTCACTTTTCTAATTTTTTTTTCCTAAATTTGCAGAATGGTGGTGAAAACAACCTCTTCAAAAGCCACAGTCGTACTAACAGTGGCATTAGTACTGCAAGTGGCGGCAGCACGGAGCCTACAACACCAGATAGTGAACGGCCAGCACAAGCCCTTCTAAGGGATTATGGTAAGGACAGCTCTTTGGAAAAAATGGTATTATAATATCCTAACTTGATTTTTGTTTTTCTCCTTTTGTAGTTCTGGCTCATAATTAATGTGTGCGGGTGTTTTGAAGCCAAGATGGATACTCCTTTGTTCATTGCTGATTTGATCCCGTATGCACCCATGTGTGGTGCTCACATGTGCTGGCTGGTTCTGTGTTGGTTGGTGTTTAACCTGCTAAAGGACTCTCCCAATACAGTTTTTAAAAAAGCTCGTGGCAAACTGTTGTACTTTATCATGTGTTTTCATGAACATTGATGCCATAAACGTATACCAGGTGCAAATTAATGGCTTCATTCATTTTGATAGCATTCCAAGTTTAGTAGTACCTTTTCTTAACTGTTTTTAAAGACCATTTGGGGGACTCCTGTTTCTGCAAGATAAAGAGGCAGAACGCTTGCAATGTGTCATTTGTTATAACAAGATCTCTTCAATTAACGTTGGTTTGTGATGTCCTGTACTGTGCCCTTTTTGAATCTTTCAGTAGAATTCATGTCCTACTTAGTCTATGTGGTAAGCCATAGAATGTGAGAATGTGGAGATTCTGGAATTTCATTTGTTCCTCCATGCTTTAGCAGTGCAATGGATGTTAATTGGTGAAGTGAATGTGAGAACAGACCACCTTGTAGGCTAGGTGGGAAACTCCATTCTCACCAGATAAAAATGCTTCTTCCCCAGTTCTCCTTGTAGGAGGAGAGATTAGTGGGAAAGCTTTAGCATATTCACATATATACATTACATACAGATGCAGGGTTTTGTTTAAATGTTAGTTATTTCTCTAACGGATTTGTCTGAAGTGACTTGAAGTGCTGGTTTTTACCACACCACCTTAATTATGTATGTAATTCCTGTGTTTTCATTGGCAAGTGTTTTTGGCACCTCGCAGTGTAAAATGTTCCTTTGTAAGGCTAAAAAAACCCTCATGTTTTAAGTTGTTGAGTCACTGACTTTTCAAACCATACGTGTAAATTGAAAGATATTTTTTGTAATATCTGGCCCTGAATTTGTTGGCATTATTGATTCATTTTACTGGATTTAAGAAAAAGAATTCTGTGCCCACAAGGTAAGGTTATAATACACTTACAAAAGGAATTTCAACATTTCTGCTGAATGCTTGAAGGGAAAATTGGAAACAAGATGGTTTATTTTTACTGGTTAACTGTAGCTGACGTGTGAATCTGCTGCTAGACTGGCAGAGAGCATTGGTGCTGAAATGAATTTGCCTACTTCAGTTTTAACAAATGTGTATAATATTTGTGTTCCCAATACAATGAAGTTGTGAGCAACTGCTCCTAAAAGCACCTCTTTGTTTTTAATGTTAGCCAAAGGTACAGGAAAATTAAACATTTAGAAACAATTATATCTTCCAGGTTGGTTTCTTTCATTATCTGCACATAAATACCTAAAGCAGCTTCTGATAAATGCTGTGTATAGAGAGAATAGGTAACTTCTGGCCTAGGTATCTGAAGTTACATGAGCTCTGTTCATTACTATGACTCAGTGTGAGTACTGGTGTCTAACATACGTGACTAATGCCTAAATTCTTCTGAGTCTGCAAGACACTGCAGCAGTGTAAGCACGGTAGCAAACAGCAGCACAACCCAACACAGGCTGTTCTGCTGCTGAAATGCATCCAGTGCTGTGATTGTCCGAAATGTCTTTAGAAGAAACAGAACCAAATTGATACAAGGTGCTAATCTGAATAGATTTGTATTGTGTACTGGTGTTGCATACAAGGCAGTTAGCCAAATTTCCAGATTCTGGGTTGTATGTAATTTTATGTGCGTATCGTGGCTGCTTTGGCTTGTTCCTGTGCTTTGCTTATTGTTACTAATGCTTAGTTATTTTCCCTCCCTGTGGTATGTGTTACTGGGGTTACATCCTAGCTCTTAATACAGATACGGCTGCAGGACTTCTGATACGCAGCATTCACCTGGTAACCCAGAGGCTGAACTCACAGTGGAGGCAGGACATGAGCATCTCACTGGCTGCGTTGGAACTTCTCTCTGGATTGGCAAAGGTGAGAGACGAAGCTGTGGTTACTCCAGCCTCTTCTCAAAGGGACGATTCCTGTTCTCTTCAGGTGAAAATCATGCCACCAAGCAGACGTCTGTCAGCAGATGTTCTATTTGGAGCAAAGAGGGTACATCCTCCTTCTGTAGGATTGCTCTGTCTTATCCTAGTGTATATGCTCAGTGATTTAAGTCAAGTGAGTGCAGTGAATGCCTTTGGGCTGAAGGTGAAGCTCAAGGTGGCTGCTTCAGATACACGTAGCCCTACTGTGTGATTCTGGCTGATTTTAGCTGGATGGCTTCTAATCGTTCTCATGGGTTCTCATGTGTGGTTTTGCTTTGCTTTGTGTTTAGGTTCTGTTTTGTTGTCACTGTTTTTTCACACTGCAGTGGATGAATCTTACATATTAGGTTGAACAGCTGGAAGAAAACCGTACCACTGAGCTTCCAGTGGGCAGTGTGGGCTTCAGCCCATAGTTTTCAACTCCACTGTGAACCATTTCTCATAGGTTACTTTGTTAGATGTTTCTAAGGCTGGTTGCACAGTGGGTGGACAAACCAAACAAGAGTTTCTGTTGCTGCTGATCAGGGTTGGAAATAGACCAGGACATAAAAAATTTGGTTGCCCTTTTTTAAGTGCCAACTTTTTTTCTTTTGTGTCACGTGCAAAGTAATTTTCTGAGCTATGTGTGACACCTTCTTAATGTGAAGGTGTCACCTGCTTGGGAGCTTTGTCTTCACACAGCTCTGTTCCTCAGACTAGCTGTGCTGTTTCTCTTCACCACTTCCCAGATGAACCACTCCTGTTCTGTTTTAGCACCCTCAGTTGTGGCCTATGTTCCTTAACTGTAAGGAGACTCACCTGGCAAGTAGCTGGAGTAATTAGCAAGTTAGTGAATAGTAAATAACTAAATGCTGGGTTGGGGGTCCTTTTTTGATGAAAAGTAGAATGTCCTTTTTTGCTTGAGGACACTTATTGTTCCCAGTCTGGAGTTTGTGATGTTTGCTAAGCAATGCTTTGGTGTATTTACAGCAGCCACAATGAACTGGTGCAGCAGCTGGGCATTCCCTGATGTATCTTTTCAGTTGCAGGTTATTACTAAGATTTGGTCCATTAGAAAAATCCTGTTTTCTGCAAGAGTGCTGGAAACAGCCTCTTGTCCTAAGCTGAGCTCAAAGGGACTCTGCCATATATCTTACGCTTCCAAAGGAAGTACTGTGTCGGGCTCCAAACAGTCGTACGTGCCCTTGTTGAGTACAGCTGTCTGGCTCCCGTGTTGTCACCTGCAAAACCAGTCAGCAGGATGCTGGTGGTGCCCCTCCAATATCGAATAAGCCTTTATATGGCATGGTCAAACTCTACAGAGTAGAAAAATCCAGGTTTACCTGAGAGCTCCTGTGTCAGCTCACATGAAGAAGAGAGATTTGCTGACCTGGTTAACTTCAGATTACTGATCCTCATCACTTGGGGTGCACAGCCCTTTGTTAGCCCTCACGGCCTGAAGCCTTGCTCCCTGAAGCCCATCTGGGCAAGGATACGAGCTGAGGGGGTTTTCTGCAAATGATTTTTTTTCTGGTTAATCTGCTTGTCTGAGCATGGTTGTTTGTCAGTGAGAAAGTGAAAGAAAATCACTCTGCTGACACAATTTGCCTAGTGGAAAAGGACAGGAGCAGAATGAAGCCCTCTGGATGGGAGACTGGGCAGTGAGTGGTTTCTTAGAGGGACCACGTGGACGTGAGTGGGGCTGCTGTAGCTGAAGGAGAGGTTTTTGCAGAAAATAAGTTTAAAACACAGATCTATTCAGCTTACAATTCGTTTCTTATCAAACCAGATTGGTATCATTCTTGCTCTTGGAAACAAAGCCCGGCGGGGTGGTGGCTCCTTACTGCAGCGTTTCTTTTAATTTCAGAATCCATCCCTGTTTAACATTTGTACCATGAAATAGCTCAGCTGTGTATTCGCATTTCTTAAAGCTGCATTTAGAAATGCTTTCAAAAGCTGTTTCTTCTCTGGAAGGTTTTGTGAAGAAATTCTCACCTGACAGTGCTCTTTTCCTTGCTTCACACAGGTGAAAGTGCTTGTTGATTCCTCCGACCAAAAGAGAGCTATCAGTTCTGTATGCAGCTACATAGTGTTCCAGTGCAGCCGGCCGGCCCCGCTCCACTCCCGTGACCTTCACTCTGTGATAGTTGCAGCTTTCCAGTGCCTCTGTGTGTGGCTCACTGAGCATCCTGACATGCTGGATGAGAAGGTAAGAATCTCTGATGTGTGTATTCTTAGCCCCCAAGACTGATTTGCTTTTTGTCCCCAGCTGTCAATGTTTCAGACTTTAAAACAACACGTCTTTGTAGTTTTCAAAAGCATAGCAGGAATTCCAAAACTAGTTTACTTGGAAAATAGCTTTCAGTTTTGATTTCTCCTTTTCATTCACTGAGAATATTTTTGGCTATGCAACCACCTTTCATGTTTATAAGAAAATATTTTGATCTTTCTTCTTGCTTTGTGAACTGAAAAAAAAGAGGAAAAAAAAACGTGAAATTGGAAAAGCAGAAAAATAGTGGAGAAATATGAGAATTATTGGTGTGTAAATAGTGTAGTTACCTGCACAGATAAGCTTCTAAAAGCAATGTCTTTTCTCATTTCTCAGCTCTTACCTAAGGAATTTTCTAAATTTAACAGTGGAATTTCTTTACTGCTGATGTTTTGATGATGGTAAAATCATAAGAATCATAGAATGGCTTGAGTTGAAAGGAACCTTAAAGATCACTGAGCTCCAACCCCCTTGCCGTGGGCAGAGTTGCCAGTCATTAAATCAGGCATCACATCAGGCTGCCCAGGGCTCCATCCAGCCTGGCCTTGAGCACCTCAGGGATGGGGATCCCCACCTTCTCAGGGCAGGAGCAGCAGTGCCTCACCGCCCTCTGAGTACAGAATTTCCTTCAAATATCTAACCTGAATCCCCCCTATTTTAATTCAAAGCCATTCCCTCTCATCCTATAGCTATCAGACTGTAAAACGTCAGTCTCCCCTGTTTATAAGCCCCCTCCAAGTAACGGACAGCAGTACCTGGCGTCTTCTCCAGACAGAACAAACCCAACTACCTCAACCTTTCTTGATAGTAGAGGTGCTCCAGCCCTCTGATCATCTTCATGGCCTCTTCAGGACCCTCTCCAATGGCTCTGCATCCTTCCTGTGTAGAGGCCCCAGGCCTGGACACAGTACTCCTGATGCAGTATCACAGGGGCAGAGCAGAGTGGGACAATGCCTTCCCTGCCCCACTGCCCCCTCTGTTGATGCAGCCCAGGATACTGTTGGCTTTCCGGTCGCACTCTGCTGGCTCGTGTCAGCTTCTCCAGGGCTGCTCTGAAGGAATTCTTTTCCCAGTCTGAACACATATCTGGGATTGCCCCAACCCAGTGCAACACCCTGCACTTGGCCTTGTTGAACCTCGTTAAGTTATGTTGCTTTTCTGGGCCCCTGTGGGTGGCAGCCCTTCTGTTCTATGGCCTGCATCACTCAGTGTCAGACTGAGTGCTGAGGGTGTGTACCCAGTCCCCCTGTCTGGGTCACTGATAAAGATGTTGAACAGCACTGGTGCCAGGACTCACCCTTGGCATCTTCACCAGAAGTTTTCTAGAAGCTGAGCAAGGCAAACCTTGATGCAGGGTGCAGCTTCCTGAGGGAGTGTGAAAGATGCATGTTGCTGATCTGATCGCCTCCTGTCATAGTCTCAAAAAAATCTTTTTTTTTGCATGAGCATCTGCTTTTGTTGTAGGTCTGCTTACATTGGCAGCTCAGTTATCTGCAAATATATGTTAAAAATAAAAAAAATAAAAAAGAATAACAGGGAGGGTTTTCAATAATAATGCTTTCTGCATGTACCTTTGGGATACTGGCTGTTGGTTGTAGGTGACCAGGAAAGGGGTGATTTCCTGGGATGTGGCACAGCACAGGTTATAAAGTTACATTATGCTTCGTTTCTCTTTCTTTCTTTGTTTTTCTGCATAAATTGTGAATTCAAGAAACAGCACAGGCCAAAGTGCAGAACCCTGCCTGGTTTCTGGTGGTTAAAACTGCTGATTTATTTGTGTAGTTAGGGTTCATTGTAGACTGCTACTTGTTCTTGAGAAAGCTTTCCTCTTTATTCCCTTGTTTAGCCATCAGATCAGAACTTTTGTTGTAGCAATCCAGATGCTTTCGGTAAATGACTTTGCAGTGAGCAATATTGGGCAGTCATAGCAGTGATCCCACTGAGTGCTGGCCTCTTCTGTCGTGTGTTTGTTGATGCTTTGCTGTGCACTTTTAGAGCACTGTTATTGTTCTCTTGTTGAATTAGATACCACATATATTATCCTTCCTTATGGATGCTGTTGGCAATTGAAAGATTCGGAAAATTTTCCAGATGAGTTCATTCTTAATATCCTGAGAACTTAATTAAATTTTCTGCAGATAATTTCAGAAATGTGTTTATCGTTTAAAATATGTTTATATTTTTCAATTGCATTCCTAGCTCTCTTGGCTGTTTTGTACATGTCTAATGTACGTTGTGTATATATTAATTCAGAGCACTTTCTAGCGCTGGATATGGAGGCACACTAACACAATTAGACATCTATATACAGAGAAAATACAATTCCTCTAGCAAATGTGATCTTATTTCAACACTGTCTGTTAAAATAATTTTCTGCCTTTATCTCTGAGCTCACACCAGAAGCAGCACACTGCTTAGATGAGTCATCTGTTGCTGTTTCTCTGAGGTCTCTGAGACGTCTGTTGGAATGTTTCTGTTTTAAGGTAGTTCCTCGTGTGTTTTAGGATTGTCTAAAAGAGGTACTGGAGATTGTGGAGCTGGGTATTTCGGGAAGTAAATCCAAGAGCAGCGAACAAGAGGTGAAGTACAAAGGAGATAAGGAACCAAACCCTGCATCCATGAGAGTGAAGGATGCTGCAGAAGCTACATTAACGTGGTATGTGATTTCTCAGAGCGTGTTCATTGTTTAGCATTGCTTTGTCAGAGAATGCTTTAATGGGGGGTTTCCACCCGGTATGTAGTTGAGAGCATCTGAAAAGTCACCCAGAAGTTCCTTCTGTTTTGTCTTTTGGGCAGGGTTGTCTTCCCCCTTCCATTACAGACGTCTAGCAAAAGAAAGATTCCTGTAATTGCTGTCTTCTTTCTGCCCCTTCCTTTCCTTGGAGAGCACAACCTTCCTGCAGCCCCTGATGTTCTGCTCTTTGCCAGTGCAGAGAGTAGCTCCTTGTCTCCCTCTTCCCCTTGTCACCTTGTCCTTCCAGGCCCACAGCCTTCTCCTTGGCCTGACAAGTTATGCTTTCCCCATGCTTTTCCCCACACGGTAGCTGCTGTCCCTGTGTAACACAGCAGGCAGTGACACACGTAGCAGCTGTAAGCTAAGGCAGGGTGGGACGTCATTCTGCTCACTGAACTGGGCTTGCTTAATAAATCTGGGAGACTCTGCTGGAAATGTGATTGCAGATGATGTGTGGGTGAGGAGGGGGAGCGCAGAAGTAAATTGAGATTCACTCCAGAGAAGCTGGAAAGTGCTGTTTTACTGCACGAATAGCATGGTGGTGTAGACAGGACAAACTGAAGATGAGTAGGATAAACATGTGTTGCAAAAGGTGAGGGCTGCTTGCTTATTTTGTTTGTTTTACTTCTCAATAAAATCATTATAAACTTTACTATTAGTAAAAACGGTGGTATCATTATGAAAGCAGCTTCTCATTGGCACTTGTGGATAAATTTTTCTTGTTGCCTGAAAGTGGCCTTTTTCTTTTGTTTAGAGGCATGCAGATATCTGTTTTCCAAGGGAAAAGTGTGGCAGGAGGACTTCAGTAAATTTAGTATAGATCTGAGTGCAGCCCCATTCAAAACATGTGAACTCCAGTCAGTGACACTGCATGGAAGCCTCTGCTCCTGCTGTTGGCTCCTGTCATGGTGGTTTTCTGTTGGGAAGATCCTGCACAATTTCAAATTATTTAAGTATATATGTATTCTTAGGAGCCCTGTGTGTGCCTTGCTTGTTGGTATTGAACAGTGGGTTAAGTTATGGAGGAGTACCTCAAAACATCCATAATGTTCTTATAAGAACAAACATAAAAAAACTGTGGAACTACAGATTATTTTTTGCTCTAAAATGTATCTTACTATCTTTATGACCTTGATTATAGACGAACTTGTTCTATGGGCAGGTTACTCTTCTTTGAAGGATTCATCTACACTTTTTCTGAAATTACTGGTTCTCTTTTAAGACAGGCTGATGGGATAGTGCAGTAATTGGTTTGTGCTACCCATAAGAGTAGCTGCTATGTCGAGATCCCAGTGAAGAACAGAGTGAAAGTCTGTGCTTGGGTGGGACAGCAGGTCTTAATCTGTGGTGACTTCTGTCTTTTTTTCCCGTTTGCAGTATTATGCAGTTACTTGGAGCGTTCCCTTCTCCCAGCGGCCCTGCTTCCCCTTGCAGCTTAGTGAATGAAACCACCTTAATTAAATATTCTCGCCTGCCCACCATAAACAAGCATAGTTTCCGTTACTTTGTTCTGGATAACAGTGTCATCCTGGCAATGTTGGAGCAGCCTCTAGGGAACGAACAAAGTAAGTCCAGCAGTCACTATTCCTTGTTCCTCTTGTTAAAACTCCCAGCATGGAGCTATAGGAAAACAAAAGGTACCACATTGTGTGGTTCTGTCATCTTTCAGGGCCCCACCTCATCTGTGGACATGCAGCTGAATGGAATGTTGCTCTGGAATGAAGTGGCAGGGCTAACCTCCATGTCAGCGATAGTCAGACTTATAGAAGCCCTCCTAAATAGTTCACACGGTTGCCTTTCATCCTTTGTGACCGGATGTGTGCAGCTGAGTGCCATCAGAATGGTAGCTGGTGGACAAAAGCAGTACCATTGCATTATGAAGACATCCGTGCTTTGACCAAGGATAGAATGTATTAAAAAAATCTGTTATTTACGTGAAGCTTTGAGCTGAATTACTGATCTCCTTACCTTCCCCCTGTGAATCGTCGTGTATCAAAGCATCGCCTAACAGAATCAGTGAAACTCTTCTCCTGCACTGGCTTCACCAATGCTAAGAGGGAAGCTGGTTTTTTACGAGTTGTGTTCCAGAATGCTCCCATCTCGTGGGGAATCGCTGTGCAGATCCTGCAGCCATTGCCACACGTCCACCCTCAGTCTGGGTTGGAGCCAACGTGTTCCTGACTACAGGGGTGTGGAACGTGCCAGAACAGCTGAGCACTTCTCACCCTTATTCTGCCTGTGCTAAATGAATTACTGAGGAATCCTGTAAAGCTATTATAATCTGAAATTAAATTAGCTTTACTTGCTGTGCAGAACTTGCTTACAAATCCCCCTTGAAATACAAGATTAATTGCAGTAATGCTTAAGTGTGTCAGCTCTGTTCTGAGGCAGACTGCTGTAGTGAATCATTGTGGGGCCTGGTGTGCTGCCTGTGAAATGCCAGCAAAGAAGTGGCTGTCTGGTAGTTACCCAGTGGTGTCAGTTTATGGTTTACATGCACAAAAGATGAGACACACGTCTCTAAAAGGTGAGAAACTGTAGAGGTGTGATTCCTCTTCTAAGGTGGCCTTTAAGCCTTGAAGGGAGACTGGAATCCCTGCCACAGAACCCTGACTGTGCAAGTGGAAAGGCACAGTGGGAGGACTGCAGTCTGAGCTGCTCTCTGAACAGAGTCAATATTGAACCCAGAGCAGGTTGTTCATGGCTTTGTGCAGGGAGGGCTTGGAAGCCTCGGGGGAGTTTCTCTGTCCCTATTCCAGTGCCTGGCTTCTTTTAGAAATGTTTTCACTGCGTAAAGTTAGAATCTTCCCCCATCTCAGTTTGACTGATGGATGCTTTCCACCATTCCTCTTGCCATTATTTGTGTGGGACCTTCACAGAAACTCATGGGGGCGTCATGGAGACCACATGTTTCTGCATGAACATTTGTTGTACCTAAACAGGCAGTGGCTGAATAATTTTTTTTAATTCATGGGAATAATTTGGAGAGAAAATCGGTGATCTGCATGAATTTGGACTAAGGTTACTTTTAATGATGAAATGGAGCTGATCTGGCTACTGCAGAACAGAGTAGTTCTCTGCTGCAGAGAGCGGGATTGCATTCAGCGTTTGCTTCTCACCAGAATTTGTCTTTAGGGTCAGGGTGGGAGTTTTCCTTGAAAACAAAATCTCTGTAATGTGTGTGCTTTTTTACAGTTTAATTACTGTTCAATGAAGTATTTGTGGTTTTGATGACGTATTCTTCTCTTCACCCATGTGCTTTGCAGATGACTCCTTCCCCTCTGTCACGGTTTTGATCCGTGGGACGTCTGGAAGATTTGCATGGGCCCAGCAACTCTGTCTTTTACCAAGAGGAGCTAAAGCAAATCAAAAGGTCTCTATCAAAGCCCATAAAGAAATCTTTAACTTATTGATGTTCAGCTGAAATTCCACTAATGTGAGACAGCCCCACAGATCTGGTGATTATACATTAAGGCTGAGCCACGGGGCCTTTAGCTGTAGGTAACGTGACGCATCTCTGGTGACTCTTTACAACTCGTGATTAATATGAAATATAGGCTGTGAAAGTACTGTTGCCTTCTAGGTTTGTGTAGGAGGGTGGAAGAACTCTCCTTATTCTCGTTTCTTAAAAGCATCTTCTAAGCTGATGAAGCAGTGGACCGTGTGCTCAGTGTGTTGATGTTAGGTGTCAGGCAGGGCTTTTGCAGCAGAAGGAACAAAGTCTGGAGATAACGTGTGAGATGCTGCTGAGAGAGCAGCTGTTAAAACTGCAGAGCTCAGTGTTGCAAAGGCGGCTGTAAAACTGCTGTGGAAAAGCCTATAGGTGGACTTTGGAATGGTTGTGGACAGTAATAATGGAGGATAAATGACCCAATAAATGGTGTTTAAGTAGGATCTCTTACTGCAGTTGCCTGGTGGATTATACCCTTGAGTTACCAAAATTTCTTTGTTTGTAAACATCTCCCAAATGTTCAAACTGTATAATGTAACTGAAATGTGGGCCTGTCAGTCCCAGCTGTCACATTAACGTGTAGATCTCTGTAGTGCAGCCCTTGGGAGGACCCTGCACTGGATGCCTTTTGGAGCTGTGCTGTCACTGCAGCTGAAGCGTTTTGCTGAATAATGTCAGTCCAAGGGTGCTGCCTCCCACACCAAAAGAAAAGTCACACTTTGGCTGGGGATCTAAGGGAACCATTCCAACTTAAAAGCATTATGTAACTTCAAGATTTGCCATTTTGAAGTGTACTTGGTATAAATACACTCATAAAGCACTGTTCAAGGTGTAATTAAAGGTCGCTCTTGCTTGGAGCTTAGACACATGCAAACCTGCAACCTCCGGTTGCTTTCATCAGGGATGTCAGTTTTTGAATTGCACAGTCTAGCATAATACAGCAGCATTAGCAAAACTGTATGATAGGTAATGCAGGGCTGTTGCTGCCCTGGTGGGACATCTTGCTGCTGGCCCACAGCATTGCTGCTGTTCACTTCAGGACTTCTCAGCTTCACTTGTTGAGCTCATCATAAGTCAGCAAGGCACAGCTGTTACCTTTCCTTAAACGTGGTTGAGGTAGATTTTAACCTAAAAATAAGATGTTGCCACGCAAGCTTGCTGTTTTTAACAGGATTTGCAACTGCTTAGACTCAGGTGGTAAGCAAGTGTGCTAGGCATGATGATTACCACCACCAAAAGGGACAGAATGCTGTCGTTCTGTTTTATTTTTATTTTTAATCTATTTTTCAGTACAAGTCTATTCAAGTCTGAAACATGTCTGAGTGCTTTTTAATGATACCTCTCGTGTAAGGATTAGTAAACATGTGATGGGAGAGAATATTTCCCATCTGCTATAAGCAGGTATTCTTTACTGATGCAGTGCCCCAACTGAAACTGTCCCCTTGCCCACCTTTTTTTTTTTGTCAGACCTTTGTACCAGAACCTCGACCAGCTCCTAAAAATGATGTTGGATTGAAATACAGTGTGAAGCATCGGCCTTTTCCTGAAGAAGTGGACAAGATCCCATTTGTGAAAGCAGACTTAAGCATTCCTGATTTACATGAAATTGTGAATGAGGAGGTAAGGAGGTTTTGTCTTTGACTTCATTTTGCTCATTTTTCTGCATGTTCATGAATCACACACTAACTTCTTATTCTTCTGCTTGATTAATTCACACTACTTAAAGGAATCATGAACTTTGAACAAATGAATCTGTGCACTGTCCCAGGAAGATGGCAGTGCCTTGGATGTGCTCTTGGGGAGCGCAGCTCAGCACAGTTTATTCTGGATTCCAATAGCCTGTACACCAGCACTGCGAGGAAGCAGTGGCTTGTCATGTGTTGCATCCACAAGGGAGATGGAAGGGGCACTTGTTAGATCTCTTATGGTGCATATGCAAAAACAGAAGTATTCTAAAGCTTCGCAGTACTTTAGCTTTTATTCATTAGGAGGAAGATGCTGCATCTGATGCTGGGTGCATAAATTTGCAACAGCTCTCCCAGACAAACAAGGTTTTGAGATATTCACTGTTAACCTTGCAAGGTCTCATTGACAGTGCTTTAGTAAACATCCTGGGGGAGCTGCAGCTGCTGCATGTGACTTATGGCTCTGCTGAATGACGGGGCTGTTGTAAGTGCCTTGAGAGTTTGGTACTTCATGTCTGTACAATGTATTTCAGCTCGAAGAGCGACACGAGAAGCTGAGGAATGGCATGGCCCAGCAGATTGTTTTTGAGACTTCCATAGATCAGAAAAGCGAGGAGGAGTGGCGTAAGAAGAGCTTTCCTGATCCAATCACAGAGTGTAAGCCCCCACCGCCGGCACAGGAGTTCCAGACTGCGCGCCTCTTCCTCTCCCACTTCGGGTTTCTGTCGCTGGAGGCGTTGAAGGTGACCTCATGATTCCTCGTGTTATACTGATGGCATGAGTACCACTATAGCTAGGCTTAACAGAAGGGGAAAACTTCAGTTTCGTTAGTGGAAGATTTTTCTGTGCATTGCCAGCTGCTTTTGTGCTGTCATGTGCTTGAGTTAGGTGGCAAATTTCCATCTTTCAGGGTTGAGAACAGGGTTGTGAAAGGCCTTGCCTGAAGCTGAGCGTGCTCTGAATGGGTGGCTATTAGTCTACTTTTGCAGTAGGTGCATTAACTCTCACATTCACCTGTTTGTATTTGGTGTTATTCTTCCAAATTGAGTTAGGGATGCTTTGTGAGCATTTCTAAATTATGACTGCCATACAAGTTTCTGTTCCAGAAATTGTATTGAAGTACTCTAAAATGTTTACATATGGCTAAACCACATTTAGGCTGTAGAATCGTCCCTTTTGAAGTTAAAATGCCAACAACGTATAGGAAAAAACCAACATCCTTAAACTGAAATTCTGCCTTTTAAGTGAGAAGTTTGCCTTTCATTTATTGCATTTTCTTCCAGAAAACTATCAACATTAGGAGGCAAAGTAGCTATTGCAAAAATAAACATAAAGATGCTTAATATTGTGTATATTGCTGGTGTATAGGTTACAGTAATAAAAGCAAAATGAGATGCAATGCAGCTGTAGACAATAATGTGGCATTTTGAAAGTCTCTGCTGCTTTTGTTATGGAATGGAGCATGTTTTGAGCAAATTATTGCTTGTGTTTTACTTGAAAAGTGTTAGTTTTCTTCTAAGAATAAGTTAAATGCAACAAACTGTCAGACTTCTGCTTGTTGTTGATCATTTATAACACTGTTATATTGGATCAGAATTTTTTTTGCATGGTTTTGATTCATTTTTAACGGATCAGTGTGAAAACCACAGAGATCTTTTCAGTCAGGAACGTTTTTTGAAGCTATTGAACTCTGATCTATGCAACAGGAGCCCGCTAACAGTCGTCTACCTCCCCACCTGATTGCACTTGACTCTACTCTGCCTGGATTTTTTGATGACCTCGGGTACTTGGACTTACTGCCTTGTCGTCCTTTTGATACTGTTTTCATTTTCTACATGAAGGCGGGCCAGAAGACAAGCCAGGAGGTAAGAGAATGCATGGAGCAGAGCTCTGGAACCAGTGGTTATTGGCTTTGGCTTTACTTAGACAGGAGGTGTAACAAACCACTGCGTATTTTTCATTTGAAAGGTGATTTATTATCTGCATTTTTGCACGTGTATGAATGAAAGGATGTATTTGGAATTCAAAGATTCATATCAGAAATGCATTTCAGTCTGTAGGGAAAGCTGCAGTTTGTTCTTGGTATGTGCAGTATCCAGGTAATTTAATTTGATTTTGATGTTAAACATATGTTAAAGAAATCAGAAACTTATTGCAAGAAAGTATTACTGCTTTGTAAGTCTTTACATCATACTATTTGTACTGAAATGCTATTAGGTTAGTTGGGTTAATTTGTGTAAATCTAAGCCATGATTTCTTCAGACTGTGATCTAGAATTTTGCTGTGAGTTTCTAAGCAGGTTTATGGGCTCACTGGAGATATTTCTATAATACTTCTCATTTCTATTTGTAATTGTTCTGCTAAAGAGTAGAGGCATGGCTTCAAAACTGATGAGCGTGTCATTGCCTCGTGTGGCTGTCGGCATACAGGTGTCAGAGCACAGCAGCACTTTCCACACCTGAGGGGAACACACCACCAATTCTTGAGGCCAGCACTGTGCTGTTTGTCAGTTTTCAAGTCAATGTTTAGAGCAGCAAGTAAGTGGTCCCCAAAGTCGGTGAGGTTACGGGGTGCGATGCCTTCCAGCCGTCCAGAAATGTTCTGCTCTTGCTGGACCAGCAGGATACTTTTTTCCTCTGATGCTTGTATGCAGTTACAGATTTAGACAGGTGAGACTTCTGTGCAGACGTTAGTCCTGCAGAATTTACAGAGCTTTGGAAACCCAGTTGGTGGTCTGTTCTCAGGAAGATTTGCCATGTCAATTATAAAACAATATTTTGTATATGAGAGATTCTGGGTATTAGACAGACAGTGTAAAGATGGCATTCCTGCTTCAGGATCCCAGGACATCTTGCTGTGATTCCTAAGCCTTCTCGGCTGTGAGAAGTCAGAGGCAGTCAAGCTGGTAAGGTGCTTGTCTCTACTGCCCTGAACTGAGGAGAAACTGCTGCTGTTTCTGTGGTTGAAAAGAATGAGAGCAGAAATAAATCAGTGGTAATTTTCAATATTAGCAATTGAGAGAGGAGATCAAGGCTGAGCTGCAGCACTGCTTTGGGTAGGGGTGGCTGTGTGGTGCTACGTAGCCATCCTTGTGCATGTGCTCGTGCAGTTCTTATCAGGACCTAATTCTGCTCTGCAAGGTGATTCCCACTCCTGTCACAGGGAGTAGTGGCAGCTCTACATCTGATGCTGCACAGCCTAGAGCAGTGCTGTTCGTGGGGGTGTTCCTGAGTGAGCCCCAGTCTCTGCTGCGGTGATGCACGCTGACGGCTTAGAAAGGTGTTGTGGAATTTGTTTGTACAGGGTAATGAAACTGCCCACACCATTGTTTCAGTATGATACTTAATAACATTAAATGTCCTTTGAACATGCTCCCTCACCTTTATTTAAGTTCTTTTTCTGAAGGTGCTCAGTTACAAAACTACACATTTATGTAGACCTTGAGCTCGCGTATTTTCTGCAGCTGATGTTGCTCTCTTCTCTGAATTCATTCTGAAATGTAGCTCTGACTCTGAGCGTATTGCTAATATTTCAGTGTCTAGTCACTGCTAAATATTGAGCAGGGTGCTGGAGCTGGGTGCCAGGGCACAGGGCCTTCCTTGCTGGGAGCTTTCTTCCCAGCCTGTCCCCAGCTGTGCAGTTTCTGCTCCAGTGCAGTCTGTGTCCCAGGGAGAGTCCCAGCACTGCCCCCATACAAACAAGCTCCAGAGATCTTCTGGCCACAGAACAAACTCCCTGTGACTCAGAAAGAAAGGACGACGCACGGCATGCTGTTGTCTCTTCCCCGTATCCCAGTGGTCCAGTAGGCCAAATAACAAAGCATCCGCTTCCCCTGCGCTCCGCTCAGTGCAGCTCTCCAGCCTCCCTCGGTCACGCTGGGATTAGGATGTATTTGGATGAGGAAACAACCTGGATCTTTGGGCAAAGTGAGATTAAGGCTCAGAATGAGCAGTTTGGGGTGGCGTTTGATTGAAGTGCACGTGCAATCCTGCTGGAAATTGTTCTGCAGAATCAGTTTCATTATTTAACGTGTGGTGAGGTGGTGCCCTAAATCACCATGTCATGTACAGGTAGTGACAGAACGCCTTTCTCCCAAAACTTCCCCTTGGTCTGAAGTGAAACGTGCCCAGAAAATCCTCTTGTTATGTCTGGTATTGATGCAGACTCTGCACTGGCCAGGTCTGTGGTTTACCCCCGATGTGTGGATAGATCCTGAAATTACCATTTGTAGCAATGTGATCTCAGGCTTCAGCAGTGATGGCAGAAATCAGGATGTTGCCATGCAGGGTGGCTGGGCAGCAGGGACCGGTGTCCATGTAGAAAGCCTGGGGTTCCTGATTTGCTGAAGATCTCTATTTGTCAAAACCGTTTTGATGACAAAAATTTGGGGTGATAGAAACAAAGGCAGGGTGAGGAGGGAAAGAGCAATTTCCAGGAGCCCCTGCACATACCAGCTTCTGCTGGTTGTTTCAGATCCTGAAGAACATGGAGTCTTCCAGAATTGTTCAGCCACACTTCCTGGAGTTCTTGCTGTCTCTTGGCTGGTCTGTCGATGTGGGGAAGCATCCTGGGTGGACCGGGCACGTCTCCACGAGCTGGTCCATCAACAGCTGCAGTGATGAAGAGGGACCTGAACAAGGTAAAGCACAGTCAGCTGCCTAACACTGAGTTTTGTCTCCTATTGGATAAAACTGGCTTAAATTTTTTGTTCCTGTGTGCCTATATGAACACTTGCATACTTCCTTCACATTTTAAAAGGCATTTTCTAGAAAGATACGTGTAAATTGATTAAACTTCAAGACCAAGTGATTAAAGCAGTGTGTCTGTGTTGTTGGGAGGAAGTTGTTTCAGCAAGGAGCACCATTTCCCATACTTCTAGCAGACTTGGTGAGGTTTTGGATTACGTAACAAAACAAGATGCAGATGAAATTGGGTACAGATTTTAGTGTGTACTAACAGATGTGCTTGAAATATTGTGCGATTTTTTTGTGCTCTGTAAGTAGATTAAAATGAGCTGTTGGTGAGTAAGTTAGCTGCAATCATGCTTGGTAGTAAGTAATGAAAACAAGTGGCTGTTTGTAGGTCACTGAGGCTGGAGCCCACACACAGCTCTTCTGCTGTCCTGCCTCATTTACTCTGCTTCTTTTCCACTACAGCAACTCTTCCTCTGGGCTTGTCTGGTACTGTGACTGACTAAAGGCTTTTCTGAACATCACTACAAGTGATGGAAGGTTTGAGGTGTTGGGGAGGGCGTAAGAGAACAGATGTATGGCTTTTTCAGAACGAGTCAAGAGAGGTTACGGGATGGCCAGGGCTTGGTTTGTTGTTTCTTTCAGGATGGAGTTGCTGTGCTTTGTACTGGGGCAGAGTCCTCTCTCTTCCTTTTCTGGTTGGAGTTGTCAGTATGGCTGCACATCTTCCCCCTCTGATCCCCCCAGCCCCAAAGGGAAAGAAGTTCTTAAGCAATTCAGTTTGGGTTGAGTTGCTGCTCCCTGGCAGCGATGCGCTTGAGAGGCTTTGCTTCCTGATGGTGAGGCATGGCCCCCAGCTCCGGCTGCGTGTCAGTGTGCTGGATGGCCCCTCTCCACTGCTTTTGCTGAGGCAGCTGTTCCAGGGGCTCCACTGTAAGCTGGCTCAGAGAAATAATTCGGCTTAAAGCCTTTGCTGTTCTTTCTGGAGGAGGTACGGAGAAAGGAAAAGGTGGTTTGGTCATCTTCTGGTACTGTGGCTCCACTGAAGACTTATTTGCTCTCTGTACTGTGACAGCCTGACTGTTACCAGCTGTGAGGTGGGAATAAGTGGGGGCTGAGAACTAGGAGCTTTCTTGCATTAGCTTCAGTTCAAGGGTGTGGGTTTTTTTAAATTATAGAGAGAGAGGAATTTATAGAAATTGGCTTAAATTCTAGAATGTTGTCAGGTTGAAGCTGCAAATGTAAGCTGTCTTCTGAAATTTAATGACAAACTGAACAAAACTTATGTTAAGGAAATGAGTAGAAATAGCTACTGGATGAATTCTTGTAGGAGATGCTTACGTAGTGACTACCTTAGACTGAGGAAAGGATGATATATGGTAAGTATAATGGAAATATATTCAGAATAAATCCTCTTTCCAACCCTTGGTGCTATTTACTTTAAAATATCAAAAAAGTTTATCTGAAAATTGTTGTTAGCCATGAAATTTCACTGTGAAATCTTCTCATTTTTAAAATGTGACTTATGTGATTTCTTGCACCTTATGGTTGAAGGTCTGTGCCTAGAGAGATGAAACTGCCTTTTGAATTAACCTTCCATCTGTGTTTGTTTCAGATGATGTAATGATTTCAGAAGATGTTGGAGCAAGTATCTTCAATGGGCAGAAGAAGGTGCTGTATTACGCTGATGCCCTGACAGAAATAGCTTTTGTTGTCCCGTCACCAGTGGAGTCCCTAAGTAAGATCATTTCATGTATGCGTTTCTAAAAACAAAACACAATTCAGAAGATCAACAGTTGTTTGTTTTTTAATAGAGAGCTCTGTCAGAAGCAGAAGCAGGATCCTTGTCAGAAAAGTACTGATTTAAATATCCTAATCCTTAGAAACCTTCTGAGTGTAACACTCCTCAGTGATACCTGTTCAATGCTCCTTTGTTTTCCCAGTCTAAGCATCAAATATCTTTCCAGGTTTGCATGGTAGTACGTGCCTGCTTGGGTGCCTGAGGTTGGATGTGTGGTTTGGTCTGCAGTTCTGACATTGTTAAAATGTACTAATCCCTGCTGTGGAGTTCAGAGCAGTTTTGCTGGTGGTTTTGTTCTCTCTGTCCCTTCTTGTTGACGTGCTCCTGCAACACAAGGAGGAGCATGTGCCTAATGACCACACTGATGGCTTCGTGATATCTTTTACCATGTGGTTTCAAAGAGTTGTCAGGGAATTACAGCAGCAGAAAGAGGCTGTGCTGTGTGGGAGACGTAGTCAGACAGGGTGCTTCTGGGTCCATGGGGAGTGCTTTAACTGCAGCCAGTGTCTGGGTAACTCGTGTTATCCACTGCTGAATTCTCTGCTTGATTTTGAGCTCCATTTTGACTTGACTGTATACCCCTCCATGCATCCAGTTTTAAAAACCTTAGAACCTCTCTGAGTTTCAAGACTGCACACGTGATAACAACTGAGGGGAATTGTTTGGGCAGAAGAAAAGACACAACTCACTTTTCTGTTGGCTTGTAGCTGATTCGTTGGAAAGCAATGTCTCTGATCAAGAGAGTGACTCTAACATGGACCTGCTGCCGGGAATATTAAAACAGCCATCCTTGACACTTGAACTCTTCCCCAATCACACAGACAATCTTAATCCCTCTCAGCGGGTAAGACAAAAAAAGACTGAAAAATGGCATTTGTTTGTTTGGCAGGGTTTTTTGTTGATTTTTTCTTGTCTTCAGGGTGCACAGTGGTGGTGCATGTGGGTTTTGACAGCGCAGTTCAGTCTGCTGACATTTGGAGTCACTCGTTCCTAGATGTTAATCTTCCACAGCAGCATCTGTCTGGCTATCATTTACACCTGCAGTAGGAGATTGCAAAGTTACATTGATTAGCTGTAAAACTGGAACTTGCTAAGTAGGAGCATCTCATGTACTAAAATTTTGAAGAGCGTGCAGGAAAAAGTACATGCAGTGTTCCTGAAGTAAACCAGACCCCAGTGCATGTTTGGAAATTCAGGATGGATTGACATGACTGTTCATCCCTACCTGATTTAAAACAGCCTGTATCAGTTGTGGCTGAATTATCTGGAGTGAAGTTGCTTGAGTAACAAAGCAGAAAGACTTGAACTTTGAACGTAAAGGATTTACGACTGCTTATTTCTTGTTATAAATTTACTTCCAAATGTACTTTCTCAAGGATTCTAAATCAGTAAGTATGTTAAGAAAAACTTGAATGAGTTTTTAAGATGATTAAATGACTCATCTAAATAACAGCTGTTGCCTGGGTCCCTTTTTATTAGACTTGCAGAAAATTACTCTAAGTATAAGCACAGTAAAAGTGGGAACAAATGAATTTGAATGTAGGGCAGGAACCTCAGTTTAGCTGACTGGATTGAGTGGGAAAATTAGCAAGGAAAAAGGCATTTCTTTGGGTAATGAGTAGATTTGAGTTGATAATGAGAATATCATAAAGCTCTGCCATGATGGGTGTGCTGGGGTTCCACAGTAGCATGGCAACAAAGCAGTGCACGTGTGTGTTCCCAGGGAGCGTGGAGCAATTGCACTGACTGCAGCTTGGACGTGTGGGGAAAACAAAAAATTGACATAGTTTTCAATGTGTAAAGGAATAAGAGACTTTTCTGTTGTTTATGTTGAATGTAAGTATTGTGGAGACCCGAATTACTGCTTTTAGGTGGGTAGTCCCACTGCAGCAGCCCCGTGGTAATCATTTGCAGAGGTTGTACCTGTCTGAAATCTGAAGGACAAAGAAACAATTGATGAGATGCTTTAGATAAATCCCTGGGCTTCTGGTGTTTGCAAATCCTGCTTTTCTCTTGTGTTCAAAACAGCTCAGCCCGACTTCCAGATCCAAGAGGGTGCCTCAGGGCCGGACCATTCCACCAATGGGACCTGAAACCAAAGTGTACGTGGTCTGGGTTGAACGTTATGATGATATAGGTGCGTAGAATTTTCCTTGTTCACTGATGTAGCAACAGAACAGAGATGAGAGGAAAAGCTCAGCTCCACTTCTCTTAAAAAAAGAATGCTAAATCCTTATTTATTTCTATAACTGACGCTCAAGATTCTAAAACCGTTCTTTGATATTTGAGTGATGGTCCATGGGGGTGTGCAAGTGAATCACTGGCTGTGGATGTGGAGATTATTTTAGCTCTGGCAGTACATGCAAGACACCCTCATGGAGCTTCTCTGTAAGCTCAGCATATGAGACCAGCACGCTCTTGGCTGCTGTGTTCCCAGAATGGAGCTGTTGCTCTTCCTTTAGAAGAGTGACTTTCTGACCCTTGTTTTGCTTCTGATCTGCTGGTCTGTTCTGAAGGGATCATCAATTTCTTGGTACCTTTGAAACTTTCTGCTTGGATCTGTCGTGTGGAGGGCTTGCTTAATCTGCTCACGTTGCCAGTCCGGATGGTGCTGGGCAGCCTGTTGCCTTTCTGCACGCCATTGTCCAGGCAGAGCCCTGCTCCTCCTGCTGAATTAATGCTCCTTGCCCTGGTGGTTCCCCTCTGAGTCTGGATAACTGAGAGAGACCCAGCTTTGTCCATCCTGTTGTAGCCATAGCGTGGTTAGTGCTAGCAGCTGTCCCCCAGGCTTGAGGAGTCCTTTGTTCATGAGAGCTTCTTGCATGCTAGTTCTAAGCCATGGGCCAGGCTTCTGTGTGATGCGAGAGCCTGCCTGTGCTGGCCTAGCATAGCAGGGTCTGTAACACTGCCAGCAACAGATCATCTGTTTGAAGTTGTTGTTCTGCCTCTGATTTCTAATCCAGGTTCCCAGTTTAACATTAATTAAATCCTTAGCACCTCCCAGAGGATAGCAACCAAGAGATTGCAAGAGATCAGAGGAAGCTTCCCATATGCTACCTGTGTGAAATGTTCCCTTTCCCACCCAGGACTCTGGCACAAAGATCTTGGTGTCCAAAGGAACATGCTGCAGAGCAGTGCCTGGGATCGGGATACGCATGTGACGTTCTGGAGCATCTCTTCCTTATCCTGATGTTGGCCCAGAGGGTTTCTCCTTGGCACCAGGAGTCCCTCAACACTTCATTTCCTGAGCTGCTGGTGTCCCTGACCCCCTCCTGTGTGGGGGCAGCTCAGGCCGGCTCCCTGAGGGGCAGTGACTGCTGCACACACACGTTTCTGCTCAGCTGCTCCTTCAGCAGCCATGGGAGTCCCCCAGAGCCATGGGCCTGAAGCCAAACAAATGAGCCTCAGCATGCTTGGCAGTTGGATGTCTTGCGGGGTGCTCTTGGAGGTTGCTCCTAGACCAGAGGCTTTGCCTCATGCTTCTTGTGTTCTTGGCTTTTGCCTTATGCCATCTTGGTATTTGCACAGTGGAAGAGCTGACTGCTGGCCCTCCCTTTCCTTTATCTCAAAATACTTCAGTGAACACCCCCTCTCTTAGTTCCATGTGCTGTGTGCAGTCAGTTGTGTTACAAAGTGTTTTCAGGCTTACACTCTTTCTGCTGCAAGAGTGCTTTGTATTATGCTGCTGTCTGAATTATACTTGACTTTTTTTTCCCCCAAACTCGTCTGTAAGCTTCTGCCCCTGAGCAAATGGATGGGAAGTGCCACGTTCCATTCCAGTTCTCATTCATTCCTTCTGCACCTGTTAGTGAGGGCGAGGCAGCAGAGCAGTGGGTTGTGGTGCAGGCTTTGCTGAGGGAATGGCGCTGTGTTTGCTGGAGCAGATTGGCATTCCCATGGCAGCTCTGCAGATGTGAGCAGCGGTACCGTTTGAAATTCCCAGCACTGTTCTTGAGGCTGATGACTTGCAGATGGGAGAAGAAGCTACTGAATAATAATTTAAGAGGTGTTTTGTGACTGCGACACGTTTCAGCTTCTTTCTGCTTCACTGCGGCTCTGGAGATTTTGACCTTTGGGACTCGGAGATCTGAGGGTCTGGGATGCATTCCCTGATCTCCTGAGCAGTGGGTGAAGCAGGCGTGCCTGTGTAGCAAAACTTAACGTGTGCTTAGGTAACAAAACCACGCGTTGTATCACCAGTTTTGCCAGAACATATCTGGTACAAATGCTTGAGGTTGCATTGGTTTATGGTTTATATATTGGATGATAACTTTGCATAAAAACAAAGAAGCAAACAAAAACCGTGGGGAATCTAAACTTTATTCTCTACGTCCTCTTACAGAAAATTTTCCCCTCCCTGATCTGGTGTCTGAGACCAGCACTGGCGTAGAAACCACGGCCAACAGCAGCGCTTCCCTAAGGTGAGACCTCTCTTATTTTCATTGTTTTCTTGGTTCATGTGGACGACAGTCTGTGCTGCACTTCAGAAGCCGTGACATGGTTTATTTGCATTCTTCAGCTTTTACTGGCAACTCCAAAAACTGTGGACAGTGTTGTTGAAAAGATAGATGAGCTCCTTCAGTGGATTTGTTTTCTGTTGAGGAAAAAAAAGAATGAAAGGGCTTTTCATATTGCTGTGGTTGCAACATAAATTAAGGGGTGGAAGATGTGTAGTCTTATTCTTGGGTTTGTGATCAGCCTCCTCCCTGGTGAGGTGGTTAATGCTGCATATTTGTCATGAAGCTCAAAGCCCCGTCTGCAGGGCTTTCAAATTCTGTGGTGACAGAAGTTTGTAGGAGCAGTAGCTGATGGAGAGAGACATCCTAAGGTCCAGAGAATGCACACAGGAGCCCTGCTGGTTTAGCCATGAGACATTTTCATGTCCTTTTAACACTGGATCTACAAAGAAAAAGGCTCACTTTAATTGAAGCGCTGCTATAGAACTGATTTGTACTTTTTTCCCTTAAGATCTACCATTCCTGAGAAAGAAGTTCCCGTGATCTTCATCCATCCTTTAAACACCGGCTTATTCAGGATAAAACTGCAAGGAGCAACTGGGAAATTCAACATGGTTATCCCGTTGGTGGATGGGATGATAGTCAGTCGGAGAGCTCTTGGTAAGCTGACAGGGGTTAGGAGCACCTGTGGCTCCTTCTTGTCCTTTTCACGTGGAGGCAGTTCATTGAGCGCTCTGATCCTTCCTGTTCAGCCCTCTGCATCGTGGTCATCCTGCCAGCAATACTTCTGCCTCTACTCCTTCATGAGAAGCAGAGCATAACCAGCGCTCTTGGTTTTGTGTTTGTGCTTCCCATTTCTGTTCCTCTGTTATGCTGCTACAGTGAGATCTGGCTGATCCCAAGAACTTAGTGGGATCAGAGTGAAGGAAAGCTGAGGTGTCTGTGGTGTGGGTAATAATGTATCTGCAAAATGCACCGACTGGGATTTGTCACTGGGTTTTGGACATGCCAGCAGGTCTGTATTTTGTTCTTCTCGCCACCAGAGTGGCAGAAGGGACAGCAGAGGGAGCAGGTGGTTAGCATTTAGCTGGAGGAGTTGTGAGATAGGGCTGTGCTGTCCGTGGGAACCAGGTGAGGGCTTGGAGTCATACAGTGGAAGGAAGAAATGTGGATGGAAAGAACAGAAATGTGACCTGATGCTTAGCACTGAAGGCCACGATGCTGGTGTTCCTCATCTGCCAAAGGGTGCTGCTGAGTTCCTGCTGCATGCTGCACTTATTCCTTCTGTTTTAAAAACAGGCTTGCAATGAAAAGCCGCAGAGATCGGTAGCCCATGTTAGTGTGTGTGTGCTGTCCACCTTTTCAGGTATTCCTGGATGTATTAACGACAGATCTTGGCTGTCAGTGCTGTTAGAAACTCAACAGCTGGAAATCTCTCTCCAGTGAGGGCTATTCCTGTGACAGAATGAAGTGAAAACACTCTGAGTATTTAGACACAGCCATAAAACTGATGTAGGAATCTGCTGGGGATGACTCCCAGGTTCTGATTTTGCACATGCTGTGCAGTGATGGTGAAAGCGAAGCCAGACGAGGCCTGCAGATAAAGGTTGTGATCTCAGCTGATAACAGCAGCTTGCCCTAGTGAAGAACCAGGTGTGTTTCTTCTAGTGTGGTGCTGGTTTTTCAGCTGCACTGGGGTAAAACAATAACATTTGTCTGATCTCTAAGGTCAGCAAATGTAGCTTGTGTGCAGTTGGGGATCAGGTCCTCTAGATAAGGAAGGCAGTGTTTGCTGTTTTACTGACACCTCTGTATAGGCAGAAAAGAGTCAATGAACACTTTTTTCATGAGATGCATAGTAATTTTATTTTGGAATACCAGTAGGTCTGCTGTTCCTAGCCACAGTCTGTCCTCTTTCCTCCCCCTGCTCAGAGGGGCAGTTCTGCCATCCCTGCTGCTCTGCAGTAGGTTTGCCCTGCCCAGGTGGCTCCTCAGCATCACCCACTGCCACCTCAGACCCAGTCCTTGTGTGCGAAGCCTCCAGCTGTCGTACTGCCCTTCTGCTCACAGGACCCGTGTGCTTACTGACTCAGTCCCGAGGGTGCTGCTGTAGCTGCCTGGCACTGACAGAGCTGGGGAGCCCTTTCTGCTCCCACTGGCTGGGTGTACTGCTGACTTCACCCCTTTCTTATTTGAGTTTCACGTTGGAATGGGATGGCAGGGCTGGGGACAGGGCTGAGCAGTTACCAGGTGGCCTTTCTGAAAAGCTGCTGCGCATCTTCCCCTGGGTTCCTGGGTGCGGTGGGACCCCATGTTTCCTTTAGCTGTAAAACCATCACGGGGGAAAGTTGATTTTGTCTAAGCTTATTTCAGACCTTCTTTCTTGTTTAGGTTTTTTAGTGAGGCAAACAGTAATAAATATTTGTCGGAGAAAGAGGCTGGAAAGTGATTCATACAACCCCCCCCACGTCCGCCGGAAACAGAAAATCGCAGACATTGTCAATAAGTACCGCAACAGGCAGCTGGAGCCTGAGTTTTATACCTCGCTTTTCCAGGAGGTTGGGCTCAAGAACTGCAACCCGTAGGCCGTTATCCTCCCCGGACAATTAGATCAGAGCTTGGTGGCTACAGTAATGAAAACAGTTAAATAACAACACATTTCCTCAGCCCTCCGGAATTCAGGAAACCGTATTTTAGCACAAGTCAGCAGATACCGTGTGGGAGGAAGGAGAAACGAATCCCAAGCCGTGCAGTTGGGATACTGACTCAGTTCACCTACCCGCGAAAGATTACTGAATTCCAGTCTTCCTGGATGCTCGCAACATAGTCTCTCCAGCAGCCATCTACTCCCTGCTAATTAAGAACTGCGTCTCGTCCTGTGGGAAGAAAACAATCAAAGCAAAACCATCTCTGCACTGAAGTATGAGGAGCGCGGGGCAAAGCAGCTGCCTTCACACAGCCCGCTGTGCCCACGCGCTGGAGAGGGGAGCGGGGTCTCTCCTTGAGGAGGGAATCTTCCTGAGCGCTCGCTGTGCCCACAAGAACTTCAGGAGAAGTTTCTGACCCCCTTCGGCGTTCTGCAGGAGATGCTTCACTGCTTGAAGCTCATTTGTTCACCACAGGGAGGAAAGCTGCTCGGGAATATCAGGTCACCAAATGCATAGCCAAGATGCTGTGTTTCCCAGTACCATCCTGTGGGTCTGTGCACAGCGTTTCTGTCATCCTGGGAACAAACTGAGTTCAGACACACCTTCTTACTAGATAAGAGATCTTGGTTCTATAGAAACAAGGTTATGACTTTCAGGTCTGTTGCAAAATGTCACATTTAATTTTAGTCGCTTGGTTTTATTTTCTTTATGCAGCTGATTATGTTGAAATGTCTCTGTTGCTCAGTCGTCATTTTCATTAAATGTGCAAACATCTCTTGCTTTCCTTCTGCCGGGCTGAAATCTGAGGTTCTGGGGCTGCCTCCTGCCTGACATTTATCGAATATGCAGCTTTTGCAGCTTCTGCACTTTCCAGAAGCTCCTCTTACGCAGACTACGAAACAATTGGAACAGAAAAGCGAGGAACCCTTCTTTTGTCCATTAACTTGCCATTCCATGGAAAGTCCATTTGGAGTTGTACCTTAGAAGCGTTTTGAGGTTACCGTGCTCTCTCGGCAGCAGTGATTCCTCTCTCCTTGGTCAGAAGTTTCTCCCTGAGCTGCCGGTGCCCCGGCCGGGCTCAGCCACAGCCTGGGTCGCTGCCTCAGCCCACAGGGAGCAGAGCCGTGTGGATTCGTTTCTCTGACCGCCGGCAGCTTCCATTCGAGCTCCTTGCTTCCTCTGTGGCTGCACTCTGGAGCTCAGGCTGTGCTGGGAAAAGGTGTTCACAACTGCGCGTCAGTGCTGGCAATATGAAAGCTGCAGCAGCACTGCCGCTCCTGGGGCTGCTTTCAGGCCCCCAGCACAGTCCTGCCTTGTGGCAGCAATGAATCACTGCTGATGCTCCTGTGTGGGTGCAGCCTGCGATGGCTGGCAGTGCACGTGTTCTTTTTCTTCCAGTAAGCAGGGAGGAGGTGAGCGTAAACCTGAGCAGGAATTGGTGGAGCTCCTCAAGTTATGACAAAGTGTTTCTCGGAAGCTTTTTAATATGCATTGCAATAATGCCTGTGAGTCACTTAACTTTGCTATTTCAGTTACTTTTTGCAACAGTTGTAACCTGAAACAGTCTTACTTGTTTCATTACAGTTTCCTTGCCAGGGGTGTGCCTGGATCCCATCTGCCTGTGGTCTTTCGGAGGGTTCCACCTGCACCTCAAAAGTCGTGCAGGGACGTGCGGGTCTCAGCTGAGGGGAACTAGGGGGCAGGAGCAGGGCAGGCACAGGGACCTCTCAGGAGGTTTTGGTCCAGATGAATCACAAATGGAAAAACAAAACCAAAATCTCCGTGGCGGTGAGCAGAGCAGCCGTGCTTCTGCACCGTCCTGGGTGTGAGGGGCAGCGCTGGGTCTGGTGGCAAAGCTGAGGTGGAGCGTGGCCTCATCTCTCCTCAGCTCTTGCCAGTGTGCATTTAATGCACAGGCACTAAATTTACCCACGCTGTGTGTGTACCTTTGGATCTACATAACGGCCAAACACACTTTAGTCCACTGACTTAAAAGGCATGACCACTGCATGTGTAACAAACAGAAACATACAGAGCGATCAAGCTTTGCACATCTTCAGCAGCTTAAAACCCATAGCTGTGTGTGTCACGTGCAAAACCATTGGTTTGTAGCCCAGTGAGCTGCAGAAGCTGCTGCTTTCAGGTGCACAGTGCAGTCAGGAGCAGAGCTGTGGCTGCAGGAAGCCCTGAGTGTCTCCTTCTGAGTCAGAGAGCCAAAGGAACTGCCCGAAATATTGCGCTTTAGTGCGCTTCGGTCTGTTCCTTGTTCCATCCAGAGCATGAGTGTGGCACCCTGAGCAGTGCTCACAGGGGGAGCAGGGCCGTGTGTCAGAAATCTTGAAAGAAGAGTTTTGTGTGAGCAGCGTTTATAACTGATATAAGTCTGATCTGCGAGGTCACGCTGAACACATCGCACGCAGGGTGAACCTGCCCGTGGCTTTGGGGTTTTGCGATCTGCAGAGGTGAACCTTGACGAAAGTCTGAGTGCAGCGTAGCAGTGCTGCGTGCTGTGCTGTCAGCCCTCGGTTTGGGCGCAGGCTGCGTGGCAGAGCTGTGCCCCTCACAGTGTGGTGTGGCTGATGTGAGGAGCAGTGCAGCAGCGAAGCAGGCAGCAGAGCTGACGACTGCGGGTGGCCCAGGGTGCCTTCAGCTCTCCTCCCCCATGGGCTGAGAGGAAAGCTGAGATTTATATCAGTCGTGATGCTTCTGTCGAGACCCTGAGCTTCTGGGGCTCTGCACCACAGACTGCCCTGTTGAGTTGGCAGCTTCTCAACTCGCATGGCTGTTTTTTGCACCCATACCCATGGGAGAGCAGATGCCCACCCAGGGGCAGCGCATCGCACCGAGCTGCCGCTCGATCACAGATGTGACACAGCCAGAGTTCCTCTGTTCACACAGTAACGCCTTTCGGTTTGGGTTCGTAATTCTGCTCTGAATGATGGCATCCTCTTAATGGTGCAGAAGGGGGGTTGGGGGGCGGCCACCTCGTTAAATGCAGAGCTGAAATTGCAGAAATGTCGGTACCTTAATAAAGACTCATTTAAAGAAACTATCCTTTCTTAAAGGTACCTGGCAGATGTATGACACACATACATCAAGGAGTGGGGGGGGGAGGGGTGTTGAGGGTCTGCATGCCCACATCAGAGCAGCTCCACTGCAACAGAGTACAGCTGTGAGCAGTGGCTGCGTGACTGAGCGATGCCTTTGAAGGAAGGCAGACATCTTCCACGTGGATGTTAGCAGGAGCAGTTTGAGGTGAGAATGCCAGGGATCACGTGCTTCAAGTCATATGCATTCTGTCTGGATTTCTGTATGTTGCCAAGACATGATCTTTTTGTTCCTACTGTATTTTTCTGTAAATACCCCCGGCGCTAAGTTGTAAAGTAAAGGCAAAATGTAAATATGAAGATGTGAACTACGTTCCCTCGTCTCTAGTCCTTTATCTCCTATTTGTTTAGGGAAGGCACACGAAGGCTTGTTTGTATTTATGCCAATTCTTTGTCCAGGAGAAACACATCAAATATTGAATGTAACACAATTAGTCCAATAAATTTTAAAGATTCTTATCTAAGTGACTTTTCACCTTTCCATTTTTTGGTGTTACTTTTCCAGTTCCTATGGTTGAAAATGCCAACGATGGCGCTTCCCACGAGTGCCGACACTTCGTGCACCCTCTGCTGCTCTGCTCGTGGGGTGGGCACGGAGGGCAGAGGCCCCATTGCAGGCGGGTGGGTGCAGCTGAAGCGCTAAAGCCATGTGGTTAGAATGCAGCACCGCCAGCATTGCACAAATGCTTTATTTGGTGCAAACTGGGGATGAGGAATTTCTGATCTCGGTCGCTCGGACTGGGAGAGGAGCCGGGTCATAGAGTGCTGCCTCCTGCCGAGGCAGTGAGCTGGGAGCCCCCCATGCCCGGGCCCTGGGCCCCAAGAGGCTTTGCTGCTCTGGGCCCGGCTGTGCGTTCCGGTGCCCAGCAGTGGGTCTGGCAGCCCATTCTGCCCCGCCGTGTCCCCACACGCAGCAGTGCGGCACGAAGCTCCTCTGAGACTGCGGCTTTTCCTGGGGAGCGGAACAGAACCCAGTGGAGGAACCCCTCAGAAACCCCGGGCAGAGCGGTGCAGTGCCCTCAGCACAGGCACTGCAGTGTGAGTTGCTTCCTGCTCCCGGGGAGCGGTGAGATTTTCTGCTTCATACGCCGAGGTGCAGTTTGTTATCAGAAACACCGCGCTGCATCCCGGGGCTCAACTCTGCCCTCAGCTCCGCTGGCTGTGATGGCGCCGAGGCTCAGCGTTGTGCTGCCCCAGCCGTGGCCTCGGGCTCCTGGGAGGTGACACAGGAGGGACACCGCCAGGACAGCCGTCCCGTCCAGCAGCAGCAATGAGGCGCGGGCAGGGGCTGAGCTCTGGCACCACAGGATGACGCTGGTAAATGACTCCGTGCATCTTCTGCTTCTTAAAACACTTAATATGTGTGCCCGTGTGATTCATTATTATCATCTAATAAAAGATTATCTGACTCACTTTCATGTTTCTTCCAATTACAAATTGAAATTGTTCCCACTATGACCTTGCAGCTGCTAGATTTTCTAAAATTAGCCATAATGATGCATTTTACTAAGATAATTAATTATCTAAACTGAGAAAATTGAGTAGTAGAACTACTTCACATGCTGCTAATTATCTTTTATTATGTCATCTTTACATGCAAATAGAGAAATATTGTGATTATTTTAAACACTGTTTTCATTAGCTAACACACTTGTTAGCACAGCCATGGCTCCGCTCCTCCTCCGCACTGAGGGCCCCCCTGGGACTTTGGGTGCTCATTGCCCGCAAGACTCTGATTTTCAGATTAAAAATGCAGACTTGCGCTCCAAACTCGATCAGCAGGATGAAACTCGAGAGCGGATTGGCAGAAACGGCCCCGGGGCTGCGGGGGTCACCGCCGTGCCCTCCGGTCGGGCAGAGGGCAGAGCGCTGCCAGCGGGGCGGTCCTGCGTTGGGCTCAGCGCTGTGCGGCCGTGCGGGGAGTGCTGGGCACGGCTGGGGGCTCTGCAGCACGGGAGGGACGTGGGCAGAGCAGAGAGGGTCCGGCGGAGGGCTGTGGAGGTGACGAAGGGAACAGAGCATCTCTGCTACGGGAGCGTGCAGAGAGCAGCAGCCAGCCGTGCGTGGGGACGGGACCGCAGGCAACAGGAACAGACGCGGAGCTGAGCGGTTCCCTCTGGACGTCTGCACGTGCTGCTGTCCTGAGAGGCCGTGCAGCCTCCTTCCCGGAGGTCAGCAGCTGCTGGACGCGGTGCTGGGTGCCGTGAGGTGCTGGATGCTGGAGCAGAGTGGGAGCAGGGATGTCTGAGATGCGGCAAAGAGGCGCCCCGAGCTCCTGAACAGCACTGGGAGCTTTGAGTTCCCCTCCGTGCCTCCACTCTCTGCTCCCTTCGGAGATCTGCTGCTCCAAAAGCAGCACGAGGTGGCTCAGGGCACGGAGGTACCACTGATGTTCCGGTAGCGTCCCCACTGAGGATCCGCTGGGAGATCTCCCCCAGCCCTTCTTTCTCTCCCTGTGACCTGGCTGAGCCCCTGACCCAGGAGCTGCCTCTGGGAGCAGTCCTTGGAAGAGCTGGGGGCCTCCTGGGGGGCTGTGCGGTGCTGGGAGGACCCCGTGTGCTGACAGCAGTGCTGTGAGGAATGCATTGGCAGCACCAGCACAGCACTGTGCCTCCCACTCACGTGGGCCCCCATCCACCGGGAGCCATTGTAGGCTGGCTCTGTGTGAAGTGCTGAGCCATAAATCCTCAGCAGGATGGGCCGGTTCGCACTGCCCAGCTGCTCAGCCCTGCAGCCCCTTCCCATCCTCTCGCACACTGGTGGGAGGCAGCTGTTGGTGCTTTAGAGCTCACAGCCCCTGCTCTGGCAGCCAGCGCCCTTCTGTGCACGGGCAGGGGATGCTCCCGCTCCCTTCAGCCCTCAGCTCTTAAATCACATTTGCAAATAGGGAGGAATGGCAGGATGCTGGGAAACACGGGTTGTAACTTGGGGGGGCAGCATGAGGACTGGTCACAGGGCTGCTGGCTTTTGTCTCACTGCTCCAAAGGGGCAGTGCTGGGTGGGCAAGCAGTGCTGCCTGCTGTGCTTGCTCCAGGAGGGGCCCACAGCCACCACCCAACCCACAGCCACAGTGGGAGCAAACTGCAGCTTGGGGCAGTCCTCAGTGCCAGCTGCAGCACGAGAGCGTATGGTGATAGAGCAAGGTGGCATCCTTTGCTGAGCTATGCACTCCCAGCAGCGGAGCTGTGCAATGATGGAACAATGCCATGCAATAAATCTTCCTGGGGCCACAGATTTAGTGAGCAGTATGGATTTTGAAAAGGAGGAGCTGGCAGAGTGGATGGGACAGGGCGAGCTTAGATCCATTTCCAAAAAGGCTCATTTCTCCATCCCGCAGTGCCGGTCAGCCCCAGCTGGGATGGCAGCTCTGCTGCCCAGGCACACAGCACCCCGTGCTCCAGCAGAGACACTCCATCTCCCAGCCTGAACAGAGTCACAGAATCACAGAATGACTCGGGTTGGAAGAGCCCTCATGGATCATGAATCTCCAACCCCCTGCCACACGCAGGGCCACCAAACTCGCCATTTCATAGCAGCCCAGGCTGCCCAGGGCCCCATCCAACCTGGCCTTGAACACCTCCAGGGATGGACGGGGCATCCACAGCCTCTCTGGGCAGCTGTTCCAGCACCTCACCGCTCTCATAGTAAAGAATTTCCCCCTGACATCCAACCTCAATCTTCCCTCCCTCAACTTGAAACCATTTCCCCTTGTCCTCCTGTTAATCCACCCTTTCAAAGAGTTGAGTGGAACACTTCTCCCCGTGCAGACACACAGGCAGCGGCACCTGCTCCAAGCTCAGATCTTTTCATGTAGAAGCATGGTCATGACCTGATCAGCTCAGACCCCACGGGTTGCCTTGCTCAGATCACCTCCTGACCAGAGCCCTGTTTGCCACAGTTGTGGTTCCTGAGCCCCAAACAGCACAAGAACTCCACACCAAGCAAATGCTTTCCTGATTTTCTGGTGGCAGGCGCTGGGCAGGGAGGAGCTCAGCAGCTGGGACAGAAGTTGCATACAGGTATGGAGCACAGGAGGAGGCACAGGGATGGTGCACACAGGGGTTGGTGCACACCTCGATGGTGCTCAGGAAGTGCTGCGCGCAGGGATGCAGCACAGGCGATGATGCTCACATGGGTGACGCACAAGAGACTGTGCACACAGGGATGGTGCACACATGGAAGGCACACACAAGTGGCATGCATGCAGCTATCAGAGCCATTGGTGCTTGGCGGGGAGGCTTCAGCCACTGAGCCTCAGCTGCTGGGGCACAATGAAGAATGCCTGGCTTGGCTGCTTGCTTTTTTCCTAAATGTTCAAAATCCTTCAGATCAGAGGTTCTGGCAAACACTGCAGACACAGCCCAGGCTGTGGCAGGTCCCCTCTGCACCCCCTGCTGCCCTGTGGAGCTGTGGAGCCCAAAGTCAGCTCTGAGCCCTGGAGACACTTTCAGCAGAGACCTGGGGACAGGAAGCATGGGGTTGGCTTTTCAGAGCCATAGGGCAGGGCAACAGCTGGGGACAGCATGGAGAAGCAGGGACATGTGGGCACGTCCCTGCTCAGTGCCTCCGCAGAGGTGGCTGATGCCGGTGGGTCCACAGCTGCTCTCTGCCCAGCACAAGCAGCCGCCCCCCTGGGCACTGCTGAGGGCAGCACCTCCCTGATTAGGAAAGGAACCAGGAAGGTGTCCTGAAGTGCCACCCCCCAGCTGCTCACCCCCCCAGGGGCCCTCTTCCCAGCCCGTGCTCTTTGTGCCCCCATTCCCTGCTACCTGCCCAACCGGTCCTGTCACCAACCTGCATTCTTGCTCCAAAAATATGCCTTTGAAGTTTCTGGGCTTGCTTTCACCCTGCCCCAGCTGTGTCCCTCCCTTGCCCGAGTCATTTTGCTCAGGCCCCAAACCACCCCTTCCTCCCATCATTCCTCTTCTAAATGAAATGTCCCCCCCAGGGACAAGAGGCCACTATCAGGCCCACGCAGCCATTTGCACGTCCTGCTGACACTGGGCTCGGTGCCACTCTCTCCTGCAGTCACTTGGACATGGTGGCACCTGGACATAGTGGCACAAGGCCATCCCTGCTGCCTGAGCCCCTCTCTGTTGGTGGCCAAGTGCCGGGTAAAGAATTGTGTCCATGAGTCACAGCAAGGCACGTGCAGGAGGAAGCAGAGCTGTCCACTTAGCTAAATTGTGGTTCTGGCTGTGAAAGGATTTGTAATGAAGGAATGAGATTTAAATCAGTTCTATTTCCTAAGAGTTGTTATAACCTAAAAAGGATCAAGTTGTTTTATTGCATAAAGGAATATGAAAATAAGTTGTGCTTTCATGTCTGGAAACTCTCCTCAGTAACAGGGCTGCTGCAGTGAGACACCAGACCTGAAATACTCCCTCATGGTTCTCTGCCTTGCTCAGTTTTGGAGGCCTGGCTGCAAGGATGGGGGGCAGTGCACCCCAGCATCTCTCTTCCAGGGTCAGCAGTGGCACCGGGCACTCGGCCTTTGTCCAGTTTGGACCTGAAACTGCCAAGGACGGATCCCAGCTCCACTGCTGGCCTCTGCACACCGTGCATCCCAAGAGGGGCACGCTGCCGGCTGCTGCTGCTGCAGGTCGCAGCGTGGGTTGGCTGTGCTTTACCCAGCTGGTGGCAGAGCCCGGCAGCAGCGAAGGCCTGCGGTGTGCTGACACGCTGCCCTTGCCGTCGGGCAAAACAACCGGCATCTCTTCTACCCCAGCCCCTTCTGGGGGATGCAGGGACAGCCCTGGGCTGGTGTGGGCACACGGCGGAGCTGTGCGATGATGGTGATGCCAGCAGCTCTCCCAGCCTCACGTGGAAGAAAGGAGCTCCCAGCCCTGGGGAGGCCCTGTGTGTCACTTGGCGTGCCAGCCTGTCACAACAGCGCTGTGCAGCCAAAGCGAGGTGTTGGGCAGGGTGAGAACAGCCCCGGACTCGTGGTGGTGGAGGATGATGTCCATTGGGTGCACACCCTGCAGGGCTGCTCCAGCACCCATCCAGCACTCAGTGGGCTGAGGACAGGGCTCAAGGCTCCCCGGATCAGCCTGTCAGCAGCTCCCCTTCCTTCCATGACCAGGAAGATGTCTGTATGGGTGCAGTGGTAGGACGTGAGTGATCCCTCCATTTGTGTTTATGGCTGTTTAATGAGCTAATTTTCCTTCACACTATTGATTTCCCTGGGTTCTGCTGAGAGATTGCTTGCCTCCGGGTAATGAGAAGTAACTCAGCTGTTCCAGAGGGGTTTATGCCTCAGCCCTGCAGGATGGGATAACACGGAGCAGGGAGGTGCTGGGGACACAGCCATGCCAGCCAATGGGCTCGGTGCTCCGTGATCAGCACAGAGGTGCCAAGGTCGGCCCTATCCCCTGGATTCCCTCCCTGGATTCCCTCCCAGGTCTGAGATTAAGGAATAGATCAGCATCACCCCAGCCTCGAAACACCTCCGGATATTCAGCACTGCTTGGGGCCGCATCAAGAAGGAAGATGGCATCCGAGAGCCATGCTGATTCCTCACCTCTCCCAGCCCAGACTCAGGGCAGCCTCACTCCACTTAGCACCAATTGCACCGAGGGAACAGATGCGGCACTAATCCCACCTTCCCGCTGCATCACCCAGAAAGCATCGGTGCTGCAGGGAGCTGCAACCCAAACTGTCCGCTCTGAGCAGCCCTGTGGGAGCAGGGGGCTGCACCAGGTGTCCTCCAGAGGTGCCCCCATCCACCCAGTGCTTTTTGGGCTCTGGGCCGTGCCTCTGAGCCACAGTCACAGCCACCCACATCCCCAGGCCCACGGTGACACCCGGCCAGTGGCAGCACTGGAAGGAGCCGCCGCAGTACCGGAGGAGGCATTTTGGACACAGCCCTTGGGGACGTGGGGGACGGGGCGTCAGGGTGCCTGTCAGCTTCTGCATTGGTATGCTGGCAGAGATAAACAAAAGGAGCTGGAAGTCTTAATGCATGATCAAGATTATGATTTAATTGGCATAACAAAGGCTTGGTGGGCTCAGCCACATGACTGGAATATTAATATCGGAGGATTCATCTTGTTCTGGAAAGACAGGCAAAGGATTAAGGAGGAATGTGTTGCTTTGTATATTAAGGATGCAGACATTTGTTCCGCACTCCAGGGAGAACCTGGCTGCTGTGCAACCACACAGCTACAGAGCACATGGAAGGGGCTGTGCCGGAGCCATGGGCAGGCTCAGCCAAAGCCAGGATGCAGTGGGGATGGAGATCTCCCTGCCTGAGGTGTCAGTGTGAGATGGGACAGCAAGTGAAAGGTCCAGAGCACAGATCTCGTGAGAGAAACCCTGAGTTCGTGGCCAATCACAGCCCCCTGTATGCTGGTATGGCTGCTAAAGGCCAGGCTGTGGCACACCAAGGGCATCTGCTGCTGTGACAGACTGGAATGGCAGTATAAATCTTGATGCTTGTAAGGCTTTCGACATCGTTCATAAAACAGGCTCCTAAACAAGTTACAGATCACATTCTGCCTAAACCTGCTATAAAACAAGCGCCGTTCCCAGCTCAGATAGAAGCTGCCAGGCTTCGGCTACCAGCAGGTGAGATAAAAGGATGCAGGACTGGCTTTTAAATCTGCAGACAAAATATGAAGGCAGGGAGGATGGGAAGCATGTTGGAAAGAAGGCTCTTCATTGCAAGCCTCCACGCCTCCACTGCTGACATGTCAGAGAAATGGTCTCAGGGATGAGGATGCTGTGTGGTACAGATAAATGCCGTTGGCACTTCAGCACAAAGAGGCAATTGCATAAACAAGAAATGGGGAGAAAGAAGGAAGAGATGAATATGGGGGAAAGGAGCTGCGGTTCTGCAGAATCACGCAGAGCAGAGGATGCTGGCGGGCGCTGGAGGCACGGGGAGCAGCGGGGGGAGGCAGAGATGCCTGGACGCTGCCCTTTGGGCTGCTTGGAGAGAGTCCAAGGAGGATGTCAGAGACCTGGAAAACATGACCGGCAAGGAAAAACGGCGAGATGTGGGACTGCTTAATTGGTAGGAGAGAGCAGAGGAGGCTGGAGCAGCCGTCTGCAGGAATGCAAATGGCTCCTGCAAAGAGGAAGGGATTAATCTGCCCATGCTGAATAAAACAAGGGGAAACAGGCTTAAATTATCGTGGAGAAATTCAAAGCAGATGCTGGGAAAACATTCCCTGAGGGACTAGAGTGTCAGCACTGTGGTTCCTAGGAGAAGTTGGCCTGAAGCTGGCCCTTAGCTGCTCCCTAAGGTTCCCTCTTTTCTAGGATTTCAAATTTCAGGGTAAAAGTATATGGAAAAACCTTAAGGCAAGGGCCTGGCTGGCTTCACAGTGTGCGGAGAAGGGGAAGAGTTGCAGCTGGGCAAGCCCTGAGAACAACCTGCGGAGACCTAAAGGGTCTGCGGGGCAGCAAAGCAGCTGCCAGGAGCGAAGTGCAGCCATGGAAATGAGTTTTTCGGGTGAAGCATAGCAAGAGAAGCTCACATGGCAGCAAAGCCCATCACAACGGGTGCTCAGTGGGACAGAGCAGAGCCACCAGGAGTGCCTGGAAGTGACATCAGTCTGTGAGAAGTCTGTAAGAGCAAACACACCTGAGAGGAGCTCCGCACAAAGTGGCGCAGCGCGGATCTGTGGGGCTGCTCTGCTGCCTGAGCACAGGGCTGGTCCTGGCTCATGGCTCAGCTCCAGCTCCAGGCGCATGGCGAGCAGAGCCCGCCCGAGACACAGGTAAGGGATGCTCAGGGGCCTGGCTGATGGTGAGTGGCGTATAAAGCACCTTTCTCCCTCCTTAACTGGGGGAGAGATTGGGAGCACCTTTGAGCTGTTGACTCTGAAGCAACAGAAGCCACAGAACTTGAGCAGGCAGCAAGTCACTGGGACTGTGATGGGAGACAGCTGTCAGGAAACCTTTCTCCTGCCCAAAGGATGACAGCTTTGGGGCCCGACCATGAAATTCCCAGTTCCTGGAAGCTCCCCGCATCTCCTCTGCTATCAATCATCCACAGCAGCAAAACCCAGGAAACTACTTAATAATCCCAAATAATCCCACAGGAAAATTTACAATGGCAATCTCGTACTTCATCTGATAAAGCCCTGGCCCAGGCTCCTGAGGGCAGGGGAATTCCCTCAAACAACCACATCCAAGGAAAGCCTGTCCTTCAGTTTCCAGCTTCAGGGCTGCTTCACAGAGTCCCTAAAATCACTGCTGTGCACCACAGGTGAGCAGCCCCAGATCCCAAGCAGTTGCTCCTTGCTGGTCATGAGCCTTCCTGCAGGCCACAGGCCAGGAGATGGACACTGGCCCCTGGGGAGCTGCAGCCAGGCAGGATTCTGCTCACCTCCCCACCGGTGTGCGGTGGAAGCCAGCTGAACTTGTTATTCCTTTAATTTCCTCATTGCTTTCTTTTGTTTGCTGCTGTTGCCTAGTACAGGCACTGGAAGCAGGCAGCTTCATTTGCGTGGTGCTCTTCCTGATTCCAGCTAACGTTCATTCTAAGGTAAGCACGTAACAGTCACACATGTCTCCTCTGGGGCTTTACAGACCCGTGTCTGAGGTCGCAGGCCCTGCCAGCATGCTGTGGGTGATGATGGCCGCTCCATGAGGTCCAGGGCTGAGCTGTCTGCAGTCCACGAAGGGAGGGCCCTGTGGGCCTCAGCAGGGGACTGCTTGCTTAGGGATGCTGTCACGGTCCCTCAAATAGAGCCCCAAATTTGATTATTTCAGAGCAGATGGGAAGGGCTGTGAGCCCAAGGATGGGGCAGAATGGCGGCTGCAGGTGAGGTGCAGGTGACGTGTCCTGTGCTCACAGGGTGTCACGTCCTGAACCCCAAAGGGTCTGGAAATAGCCAGGACTTAATTCTGCTTTCTGTAGAGGCTAATGGGATTTCCTTACTGGTGTAAGCACGCCCTGGGGACACCCAGGAACAGAACTTGTGATGGGAGGGAGCCAGGTGAGAACACGAGGGCGTGCAATTGCTCCCGTTGTCAGCAGCACAGTGTGTTCTCCAAATCACACTGCCCACAACAACCACCGCGAACTGCAGGCAGGAGTCGGGCTGGGTCAGCGGATGAATTTCCATCATCAAATCATATATTCTGTTTTCACTGTGTCCCACTTTGGAGCCTCTGAAATGGTAAAACAGGTATGCATCAGAGAGGGATGACGGAGGTGGGCGCAGGCAGAGCTTGGTTGTGTTTTTCTGGTGAAGATGAGCACAAGAGCTGCATTCACAACACTGCACAGCTGAGAACTGCAAAGGCACTGGAGGCAAATTCTTGGCAGAGCCCAGTGATAAACAAAAAGGCAAAAAGCAAAGAGCGAGTCCTGAAAGGTTTGGGTGGAATGTTAGGAAAAATCCTTTTGTAGGGGGATGGTGCACAGGTCACCAAAGAGATGAAGAAATCCCTGGTTCAGGTGGGCAGAACCACGGCTGAAAATAACCGTTTTGGTTTTCCGATCGCCCAGCACAATTAATTCTGCCTTACCAGAGTTCTTCATACAGAGGACAAAGCACGGCTCCGGAGGCAGAGAGAATACAGGGAAGGGTGGGGGTGGCTGACCAACGGCTGGGCAACACATGGGACGAGGGAAGTGATCAGGTACAGACACAGCCGATGGCTGCAGAAGGGGTGGAAGGACTGGGAAAAGGGGAGGAATACCTTACGTGTTCATATTCTATGTACAGAATGAGAATCTCAAAGCAGGGGACAGGGAAGACAAAAACGTAGTATCTTAGAAGTGTCCACAGGTCACCTTCAGGCAAGGAAACGGGCAGAGGAAAAAGGGGTCAGGGTGCAGATATGGGCCGGAGCAAGCGAGGAGGTAGGAGCGGGAATGCTGCAGAGGAAGAAGCCCGGGGTCGCTGGGAGGAGCGCTGGATGCAACGGGCCTGGGCGAGGCGTCGGCAGCTCCGCAGCGCACCTGTGCCCGCGGGCCGTGCAGCAACGAGCACAGCAGCACTGCCCAGCTGCTGCCGGACAAATCAAAGCCTCCGAGGATGCGGCGCAGCGTCGTGCCGGCGCTCCCCCAGGGCCCCGCAGGCAGTGCGGCTGCACAAGGACTGCACTACAGTTAGTTAATCGGCCCCGAGTCTCAGCTCAGCTAATTAGCTCTCGCATAGCTTTGCTTCGGTGCTGCTGACTCGCCCGTCTCTGCACCGGCTGCACCGCCATGAAGCGCAGCGCGGCTCCCCGCTGCCAGCCCCAATCCTTGCACCCCAGGTCCCAGCCTGCTCACCAGCACAGGGTGCTGCTGGGGCTGGGCTGGGCAGCACTGGAGGCGCTCAGCGGGCGATGCCTCTCGAGCACTCCTCTCAGTCCGTTCACGTCCTTCGGCTGCAAAGCACCACGTGCTGTGCAGCACAGCCCTCCTCGCCAGCCGACCCCGCCGTCCCCGGCCCGTCGCATCCAGCACGACACCCCGGCTGGGCACGGCACGGCACGGCGCGGCGTGCTGCGGCGCTTCCAGCCTCTTCCCGACCCCTGGGGTAGGAAAAGGGCCCAGGGCGCAGCCGGCTCTCGGCCGCGGTGCCCGGGATCACCGCGACCCCTCGGGGCGGCCACATCCGGGCCCCGCGCGTACGCGGAGGGCGCAGGCGGTCCCGGCGGCGTGGGGGGCGGTGCGCGGGGGCGGCGGCGCGGCCAATCGGCGCCGCGCTCTCATCGGCGCAAACAGGAGCACAATGGAGCGGGCCGCGGGCGCGCTGCAGCCAAGCTTGGCGCGAGCGGCGCGCGGCTGACGGGCCAGGCCGCCAATGGGCGGCGGCGCGCGGCGGCGGGCAGCCAATGGGCACGCGGGGGGGGCGTGCCCGGGCGAGGTTCGGGTGTCCTTGCAGGGCGCTGGGCTAAACTTCACCAAATAATGGCTGTTGGCGCCGGGGCTGCCGGGGAGCCATTTTAGGTGAGTTCTGCCCCGAACTTTCGGGTTCGCCCGCGCGGCGCGGCCGGGGACTGCGGCGGGGCGGGGGGCGGCGGCGGGGCGGCGCCAGGGCCGAGAGTGGTGGCGGGCAGCGGCGGGGCCGGGCGGCGGAGGCGGCGGCGGCGGCTCTGGGGGCTCGGGCCGGCCCTGTCACTACGCCGTCCTTGGGGCGCGGGGCCGGGCCGGGCGCGGAGGGGCGCGGGGAGGGGCGGCCCGGGGGGCGGGGGCGCCCCGCGGCATCTTCCGCGCCGCCCTCCCCGCCCCCGGGCCGCGGGGGACCGGCGGGGCCGCGTCGGGGCGCGGCGCGGGGTCGGGGGCGGCGCGGGGTTCTCCCGGGCGGGGGGCGAAGCGCCGCGGGACGGCGGCGCTGCGGAGCGCGGCGGGGCGCGGGGTCCGCCGGGCGCTGCGGTGACGCTGCGGCCGTGGCACGGAGCGCCGCAGTCCGCCGCCGCCGTCCCCCGCGTCCGTGCGGCTCCGATGACGACGTCGCGGAATTCGCCGCGTTCCTGCCGCGGCTCTTCCCGGCGGGCGGCGCGGATGGCAGGGTGGTGGTGGTGGTGGTGGTGCTGGGGATGGCGGGGTCCGCGGGGTCGGAGCCGCGAGTCGGAAAGAAACGCGCGCAGCCGCAGCGGGGGAAAGCGATGCCGTCCGCCGGGGTCGCGGCTCAAGGGGCGCCGGGGCTGCCGGCCGCTCGGCCCCCGCACGGCCGGGCTGAACCGGGAGGCTGGGCTGTGCTGTGCTGTGCCGTGCCGTGCCAGCCGTCCGCTGGTGTTCCTCCGAACGCTGCCCCAAACCGACGCTGAAAAGCTGTGATGTATTTTCCTCTCTTCCCTCCCCCCACCCTCCCCACTTGAGAATTGCAGCAAATGCTTTTGGACGCAGAGAACACAGGGAGAGGGGGTGGGGGGCTGCAGACCACTCGCCGTGCTCACATGAAGTTTCCATAGGTGTGTGCTGGCCCCCAGCCCTGCCTGCAGCCAGCTGTGGGTGTCCGTGTCAGATGCAGTTGTTTATCCCTGACCCTTTTGCTTGCAGATCTTTGGCATCTGCTGCCTCTGTCCAGCTGCTGCGGGGTCAGTGGGGTTATTGCTGTTGCCAGCTGAGCTCCTCATCCTTCCCACAGTGGAAGATGTGTTGGTGCTGAGCTGATGGCACGGCTCTTGGTGCCTTCGTGCCTCTCCTTGTTTACCTCCTTCATGTGGGAGCACGGCTCTGCTGCTCTGCAGAGGAATTGTTGTTTGGGTCCAGCTGTTGAAGGATGAAGCAATAGCAGCACATTTTTGCTCTGCGAGTAAATTATTCCTGGAGTATAGATAGGTTGTTTCTCTTGAGGCTTCTGGCCTTCAACTGGATTGCTTTTGCGTAGGACTCCTTCCCCTCTTGTTTAGTGGAAAATTGACTCTTCTTCCATTGTAAAGCTTAATGCTGCTATCTGTTTTTGGAAAGCTAATTCTTCCTATCACCCCTGAATCAGTACAGCTGCCTGGACTTGCGGGTCCTGCCAGAGTGCCAGGTGTGCTGCTGGGTTTTTTCCTCTGCAGAAGCAGGAGACACGAAGCAGCAGTGGGCTGCAGCTCTCTGGGTGCTGCCCCTTTAGCTCTTCTGGCTGTAAAGCTAGTGAGTAGTGGGGCTGCATCCTACCGGAATGTCTGCGGCACCCCGTGTGGCAAAACCGACACTGTGTGTTGTTGTTCATCCAATAAAAGCCAAAGGCAGCAAGAACCTTTGGAGAAAGACTGATCCTTGTGGTTTGTTTTCACTTCAGGAAAGTCTGAAGACCATCCTGTGTCCATTGCTGTTGGTTTCTGTGTGTTGTCTCATTCCTCCAAACAGTGGCGTTGGTCCCTCTGTGGGCTGCAGCCCGTTGCTGCAGGTGTGTTACAAATTAACCTGCGTGGATCTGCAGAATGGAGGCAGCTCTTGCACTGCTGCTCGGTGCTTTTGATGTGTGAGGAATGTGCATCTCTTGCTGAAGGTGCCATTAGGTCCCATTATACCCGTTCTGTGTGCTGCTGTCCGGTTGGGCAGCAAAAGCTGACTTAAGTTCCTGTCCCCATGCACTGGTTTCTCATTGGCAGCAGGAGGATGGCTCTGCCTGAGCTCATGGAGCAGCTGGCCTTGGCTGTGCCAGCGTTAGCCCCAGTGCTCACTCCTAGTTCGGGGACTGCTGGTCTCCTGTGGCATAGTGAGCTCTCAGAGGAATCTCCTATTTTCCTGACTGCTTTCTGCTGTATTTCATTAGCAGGAAGCAAAGCTTTACTGTTTTTTTCCCTTCTAGATGTGCAATCTTGCAGTAATTTTTCAAGATTTACTCTTCCCTGAGATACATTTAATATTTTCTTCTTAAATGCTTCTCTGAAGACAATAAAGTTTTACAGGTGGATAATAGAAAGCATTCCACATCATTGTTATTTCAGGAAGGGTTTGCACAAGCAGAAGGGCGTTGAGCAAGACAGCAAGGCTGAGCGCAGCCACTGGAGCCGTTGTTTTTTGCATGAGGCTGTGCCATCCTGGCCTGTCTCAGGTTCATGGAGATAAGAGCACATCTCTTGCTCATGGGTGTGCAGGAGGAGCTGCTCTGTGGGGGAGGGAGCAGTCTGATCAGGCTCGCACCAGGAGCGAGCCCCTAGTACAGGAATGTGGGCTTGATGTGCTGGGGCTGGAAAGCAGGCACGTGCAGGGAGCTGTAAGGAATCAATGGCAAATGCAGTGGCTGGATGTCACTGGGCTTTGTGGCAGCTGAGCAGGCTAATCCCAGTGGCTCGTGTAAGTAGCAGTGGAAAGGCTCCAGTCTTGTCCCATTCCCTGCTCGGGATGGCATTTGTCACTTTATCCGGGTCTGTGGGACCAGAAGCTGTTGTTGGGAGGCAAACAAAGCAAGGGTTGAGGTGGGTGATCTGCTCCTGGCTGAGCAGCGAGGCGCGGGCTTGGCGCGGTGGGTTCTCAGCATCCCAAAAGAATGGGACGACACAACTTCACCCTAGGAATGGTGGCAGTGCAGCAGTGCTGCTGCACCAGCCTGCAGCCCTGAACTCTGGTGCTCTGCAGGCAGGAGCCAGCAGGGAGCAACGGGGCTGTGGGGAATGGCCCAAACCAACAGCAGGCTGGGAGAAACGTGGTCTGTGGGTGTCTGCCTGTGACACGAGGGGATTCTGATTTTGCTTTCTGTTATCTCAGGCTGGTGCAACATGTTTTCCGTGTGATAGGATAATGCCTTCAACTTTCCCTTATATGGGAAAATCTGGTATGCAGCCTAGTAACCCGCCGATGTGTGGCTATTAATTTTTAGCATTGTTACAGTGGTGGTGGCCGGGCAGCCGAAGCAGCAGGCGATTCCTGGACCGGGGCTGGTCCTGAGGCCAGGCAGGGCTGTCAGGGGAGCACCCTGTGGGTGCTGCAGGAGGGACTGCCCGCGGTGGGGCTCCTGCTGCTGGTGCTGTGCCACTGGTGCTGCTGCAGATGTGCCAGGTTGGCGCCAGGAGGTCGGTGAGGTGCTCTGATTTTCCCCCTGGAGAAGAAGTGTTGCCTTGAGGTTAAGGGGTGCATGCCGTTCCTTGCTGCAGGCTGCTGCCTCTAGGGGATTCCCAGCCTGTAACAAGTACAGATTCTGTTCTAATGAGAGCAAAGCGCTCCTGTCCAGAGGAGAAAGCAAAAAGTGTGGGAACTGAGTGTCTGGTCCCTACTGGTTTGCAGTGCAGGTGCTGGAGGCTGCTCACAGAGGTGTGCTGGGCACGACCAGGGAGCACAGGCATTAACAAGACAAAGAGAGGTGTTGGCTTGGCCATGGGGTGCAACATCACATTTTCCAGCCCTGCTTTCCCTGCGAGGGATGCTGCTCAGTAGCAGTCTGGTGTTGTTACTAACAGCGTGTCTCATCACACACATTGCTTGGGATCCCTCATCCCTGCAGTCCTGCCTTTGCTCTGGCTTTGTGCAGTCCTGCTGCTGCACAAGTACAGGTTGTTTTATCTGCTCAGGCTTTGTTTTGCTTTTCAGCTGTATTTTTACTAATGAGATTAAGTTTTTGCCTCTTCTGTGCTGAAAGCAGGTGAAAGTGAAACTTGTAGATGCAAGATTTGCAGAAGACTTGTTCTTCCTCAGTGTTTTCCTGAAAGCGTGGGATCTGTGAGCCTGATTTTGCCTGAAGCAGGAGGAGGCAGTGCTGGACAGCCCGGAGGTACCCGGCCCCATGATGTGCAGCAGTAGAGCTGTAGGAGGAGCAAGGTATCTTGTGGGTTCAAATTGCAGCTGGGAAGCTCCTGCACAGAAGCACAGCTCTTGCTAGGAGGACACACAGGAATGTGCTCTGAGAGACCCTGGGGTGAAAGCCTTTGCAGGGAGGTGAGCTGGGCTCATGTTCTGCATGGAAAGTGTGCCTTGGATGATGGGAAGGGCTGCAGCTACAGCCCTGAGGATTGCAAAAGCTCTCCTAGGACATGAGTGCCCCCCAGGAGGAATCTCACTTTGTTTGTCTTTGAAGGAAAAAGCAGTAATTGAAGGACTGGCTACAAGGTGCTGCATGTTAGCAGCTGCTGCTGAGAGATTCGGTGCCTTGGTATTGTCCCAGAAATACGCTTCTGTTGCATGGGCACTGTTGAGTTCCTTTCAAAAAAGTTTCATTTGCTAAAGCACCCATCAGCAGTCATGGAGGTAGGTAGCGAAGTTGTTTTACTTACTTTTCCTTTTTTACTTTACTTTACTTACTACGTTTGTTTCTTTTTTTCATTTTGTGCTGTAGCCTATGCCCAGTGCTCCTCTGTAAAGGTGACTCCCAGCATCAGTGGTGTGCTGGTGTGCGTTGTGCAGAACCAAGGGAGATGCCAAGTTACATGAGATGTTCACTTTTTCTTGCCTTGTAGGTAGCAGAAGTATTGCTTCTCCGAGAAGTGTTAATGTCTTGCTATTTATATGCATTGAGGAAGAATTAAAGTCAGTCCTGGATGCAAGAATAAACATTAGTGCTTTGCTATGGATGTGCTGTG